TCTTATATACCTATATATATATATATATATAGAAATGTAAAGTTGCTCCTCCCCATCTTTAAATGGTGTTTTTATCGCTTTAATCAACGGAACTCTTTCTAAAATCGATAGAGAACTCTAGAAATCTTCGGGGGACAATCAGAACTCTGATTATTTTTTTGAATTTTAAAAAAGTGGGACCAACTTCACAGAGATAACGTTCTGGTTCTGGACTCTGGTGTATTAAAATTGCAATCTAACTTTGTATAATCGAGCTTCTTTTATACACACAGTGTATTATAATATACTATATCTACGGCAAACAAAAGTGCACTCGTACTACGCTGCTAGAATTTTGATTACTATATTGGCATGGATGGCAGCCCGTGTCAATCCTCATGAAAGTATGTGGCAACGACTTCCTCCTTCCAAAAGACGGGGAGAAAGAGAGTGAACGTCGGATATTCTACATCCGTTGCATCCCATTTACAGATACAATATCTGATTCGACCGTGTCATAGCGGTTTTCCCCTTTCATTCACACCAGGCAGCGGTTGCCCAATCAATACCGGCCTTTAAAAGGCATTCCCTGTCAATTTTGTATCGGGCATGCCCATAAATGGCATCTCCCGTCCACCGCGCCGCCATGAAAAACGCTCGTCCCTCGACGCCGTGATATTGACTTGTGAATATATTATCAACGATGGATTTTTTCATAAAGTTTTCACCGTACAACAGGCGACGAGATTTTCCACATGCACGTCCCAATCTTTCACTCGAGCTAATAGCATATTACATAATCCGTAGCTTATTTATTTTCACAAAACTACGCGAGAGAGAGAGCCATTCATGACCGTACCTTAAACAAATTTTATTGTTACACTGTCGCGTTCTATTATAAGATATTTTTTTACGATACGTAAAGCATGATATTAATTTTAATGTAGTTAGTGACAAAAAAGCCACATAGCTTTTTAATTGCTGATTCTCACTCGGCTGTTATAAAGTTTGTAATCGGACACGTTTCTTACATCTTACGCAAGAGGTCAACCGATAACGACACCCGTTTTGAACGCAATTTACGCGTATAATACGCATTTATGCGTAGACGTTTGTGTGTGATAAGCGCTTTGGCGTCCGACCAGAATAAAAAATTTTGTGCTGCGTTGTAGCATAACATCTTCGCAGCATTTTAATACATAGACAACTAGCTATCCATCCGAATGGTACAATGCGTGTCAATTTCTCGATCGGATAGAACGCATTATACATATATATTTTAATTTTTTAAATAATCAATAGTTAGTACAGTTTTTTAAATAATTAAGCAATAATTATCGCATGTAAACGCGAGTCCTTCAAATTTAATTATTTTCTTTAATCTTTTATCAAACTTTTATCAAAAAGTTCTACAATAAAGTTATTTGATTTTCGACAGACATTCAGTATATTTGTAGCTAAACTTTATCGTAAAGCTATATTCTTATGAATGAAATTTATGAATTTATGCCTCTTGCACGGAACTTCGCAGCGCGCTTACTAGTAATGTCTGCAATTATAATGAACATCTTATTTTGTTGGTACTTAAATTGGATAACTGACACGAGGATATTGCACATGCTTAATAGCGATAAGCAATGTCGCCCCACGATAAGATTCTAAAAAAACAAAACAGAGACAAATGTCGGCGCCGGCAAAGCTTCTGAGAAACGACAAGAAAATTATGTCATTAAAACGTGACGTAAATTACAACGCACAATCGCGTATTTTTACTTAAATGTTGTCTAAATAGTATTCATAAATTATCGTATCGCAAAAGCTTATTACGCATATTCTTTTATAATCTAGAGCTATCACGGTAATCGAAAACAGAGTTCTCATTTTTTTTGCGAATTTATTCTTTCTCTTTCCAACGAGAAGTATTTAATCGTTATTGTATTATATCTTATATAATGAAAGCAATAGTAATTTTTAAAGTGAAGTCCAGTCGTTTTATTATAGTACATGCGCAATTATTTTACAGCTACGCATTGAGAAAAAAATAAAGTTTTATATTATCATAAAACGATTAAAATTACGCAAAAATTGTCAGACGTGTTAAAATTTTGCGCACTTTTTCTACCCTCGCATAAAGCGAATTATTCTAATTGCGCTTTCTTTGGCAAGCTTTCTCCTTACAAATTCTCATCGAGAATATCGAACATTTGCGACGAATACAATGGCAGCTTTGTAAAGAGATTCACATAAATTCTTAAACTCACTCTCGGCGAATGCAATAAACACGTTAAAACTCGAAGGGGACAAGTAATGACGCTGTAACCGCATGCAACTTTTGCGCGAGATGTTCAACGCAAATACGCCGCGTAGAACGGCCACGTAAAAGACAACGAAAAAGCAGTAAAATCCACCTGTTTAGCGTCCACTGCAAGCGTATCTCTCGCGAAAATTAGCAGAAATATATCCTAGTACTTTTTTAACGGTCAAGGATACAAGTTTTACTTTCTTAGTCGACTTCTCGTTTTCAAGAGATTATTTGTAGTTAACTTATACATTTATTTTGCTTAGTTTATCTTTATAAATATCTTTTTGCACTCCTATTTTGTTTTCTGAAAATAATTTATATTCTTTATAATATCTTAAATTATTATCTTGCATATCTAGTTATATTCGATACGTTCGATTTGTTGTATTTCGAAAGGAAGTACAAATTTAAAAGTATAAAGGCAAGAAATTAGAAGTACAAGATTGAACAATGAATAAATAAACTATAAGCAGCAGTAGATGTTTGCAAATTTTTGCCTGACATCAAAGTTTCGTGAAAGGCACATTTCTCTGATGGGAAACGTGTTTACGTTGGATGTTACGAGATGAGAAATGCACGCCGGGTTGTGTAAACGATGAAGAGAAAATGCCTTGGCGCATCGTTAATTAGGCGGGAACGTGCCGAGATGTAGTTGCACCGCCGCCCTTTAACCAGCTCGAAGTGGAGCAGCGCGGTGGACGAGTGGACGGCCAGCGATGCGCTCACGCGCTTCTGCGTATACGCATGCACTTGCGTATGTAATACATTTTACGCGTATACGCACTTTCCAGGATCCCCCGGCTGGATCCGATCCGGCTGCGAATGTGCAGAAGTCGCGCTCCTCCTCAAATTGCAGCGGCGTCGTCGCGGCGACACGCGACTTCGGACGACCTTCCTCCGAATCAAGGATACGACCCAATCATATCTGCAATTGCAACAATGTTACGGGACGTACTTGAGTGCGGCGATGGCCAAGTTAATTACAGTCGAGCGCGGAGACAATGGAGATCGATCGATAAAAGCACTCGACGAGTACTCTGATATTTTCAGTTAAAAACTGCGCACAAATATTCGCGGCGCGTGAAATTCTATTACGTTATGTAACGCTAAAATACATTACAGTCGAAACGAGATATCTTATTATTCCGAAATATTGGATATTCTCTTAAATCAATATACAATGATAATATGATCAATGTAATATATATGACAAATGTGACTAATCGGATTGTTTAGTGAATAATCGAAAACGCTGGAATTAGTTTTATACTTCAATATGAAATAATTATTAATTAATGTTAGTATGATTTTATCAGCAATGTGCACACATCTGCATTCATAATCGTTGGAAATCGTAAAAAATTGTTGTCATTATTTTCTGTTTCTTCTGTTTAGGGTGACACTGGTATACAAGGATTTGTGGGTCTCCCAGGAGTTTCCGTACGTATATACTACTTGCTTTATTGTCTCCCAAAATCAAATTCCGTAAAACCAGAATTTCACTCTCTATTTTCCTTTTAATAATCACACATCGTACAATATGTGTTAAACTTTGCTTTCTCTATTATTATGTATATTATCTCACACGGTAAATTTTAATAACGTAAAATAAATTTCAATTCTTAAAAAAAACAGGCAATTCAATAATTAGAACAATATGTTAATATGAAATCTTAATTAAAAAATTCTCTTCGCCGTATCTTCCGGTTTATTTCTGTATTATGAGAAGGAAAAGAATGAAGTCATGAGCTTCTTGCGCTTCTAAATTGAATTCAGTAAAATTTTCGAGCTGAACTTAGTTCAAGTTTACTCTTATTGTACCTCCTGAATGCAAATGAATTATTCAGAGGGACTGTAGCAAGCGTTTCTTGTAGGGTCTTCCTGGTCACCCTGGTGTGATGGGTCCAGACGGACTGGACGGATGCAACGGAACCGACGGCCGTGCTGGTGCACCGGGTGTATTCGGAGATTACGGGCTTCAAGGTCCGCTAGGCCCTCCGGGCGATTATGGTTTTCCGGGTGAGCCTGGTGACGGTGGTATAAATTCAGTCGGTGCCAAAGGAATTCGCGGAGATCCCGGTATCAATGGTTTGGAGGTAAAAATTCATATTTAACGTATAATATATATGTTATTCGATAACTTAAATATTTAAAATCATATTGACGATATTACGCCGTGAAAAAAATTTCAATATTTGAGTATTTATATTATTTATTTTAACGTGACATCAATTTATCGATGAGAATTGTTCTCTGTTAAAAATAAAATAAATTAACGGTTGTATTATTGCATATGTTATTACGCATTTATGTGATGCAATTATTCTTATTATTATTGGCCGTGATTGAATTTTGAATTGTTAACAGCGTGGACACTATTTAAATTCATAAACTCTCTCTCTCTCGCTCTCTCTCTCTCTCTCTATATATATATAGGAATATATATATATATATATATATATATATGTATATATGGAAAATTTATAAATTAAATATATATATAGATATATTGTATTTATATTTATAAATAGAATAAATCATTAATGTTCAACCTACATTATGATCAAAAATTTATTTATCGTAATTGTAATTAAAATTGATCATTTCGTGACGTTATGTCACGTATGATACCTATTAGGAGTCGAGATGCACAGTATAAATGTATTGCTCCTCTTAAATTTCTTAAAACCACCGCGGATTAATTTCGCCTAATTAAATCTACTCGTAAAGATCATGCATCCTAAGACGTGATCGCGTTTCCAGGGTTTCGAAGGACAGCAGGGGATCATCGGCGACGTGGGTTATCCAGGCAACACGGGCGACTTTGTAAGTAATAACAGAAGCACGCTTGTACATCCCACGGTTGTTTAAGGTACCGTAACACCGGGCGATCGGTGTGCCGACTCTCGAGGGCCGGTGAACCCTCGCGCGAGCGTTTAGGCAGGTCCCCGAAGAGCAGCGGATACGGTGGAGAAGAAACAGGAAAAGGAGATGGAGGAGGAGGAGGAGGAGGATGAGGAAGGAGACGAGCTCGAGAGTCCGACTCTCGGGACGGCTTTCGTTCCTTTTTGCGAAACGCCACCTGCTCGCATGAAATATCGTTTGCCGGTCCAAAGTATTCCACGGCAATATTTAACAGGGTACCGGGTAAAGAGGAGAGGAAAAGAAGCGGAAAGAATCTGAAAGAATTCCGCGCGCGTCGCGCGATTTCCGTCGCGCGATAAGCACCGCTCGGGAGGAATCCTCTTACACGCCGAGTTAAAAGTCACCTCCGAACGCGAGCGCGAATGCACGCTCGGGCTTTAGGTGAAAATGTGCGATACCGGGCGAAATGAATGCTCGCGCTCCAAAAGAGGAGCAATTCTCGTATGTCTTGAACGTGCAATAGAACAGAAGACAATACAAAAAAATTTTCTCCAGGAATAGTTAAAAAAAAAAGGAAATCATATCCTAGAGAGTAAAAAATTATGAATTTAAATTATCAGTTATACTCGTCGCTAATAAAATTCTTTATATCTTTCATTTCAGAAGTCTAAAAATACTGGAATATTAATCACTGCGAGAGAAATAAGATAAAAAATTCTTAAATAAAAAGACTAGTGTGTGCTCTCTAAATTTTCTAGAGTGAATCTCACTCCAAAAGAGTGAAATCTCACTCCAAAAGAGTGAAAATACTGTCACTCGGCCACTTGAGTGGCAGTATTTTCACTCCTTAGAGTGAAATTTCACTCCAAAAAATTTAGAGAAGAAGTAAATTTAAATTAGGGAGAGAATTAAAAATGAAATTAAAAATACGGAGACATATTCGTTCAAAAAAAAAAAGAAAAGAGACGCGGATGGCGGGTTTGCAATCTAGAAAGAATAGGTCGCCGTTTCTCTTAAATTACAGCTGTGCCCGCGATACGGGAAGAGCGCGATATGGTAATGTAACGTATGCCGCAGGAATTTCGGTTCGTATAAACCAGACGGACGGAACTTTACGAGATTCTTAAAGCGCATAGAGTTAGACCTGGCGATGGCCACTCGAAAGTTATCTGCGCCACTTGTATCCGCAGTATTCTAAGTTACGCCTTCGTATAAGGTTGAATTACGTGCCCGATGTTACACGTATTCCTCGCGGCACACACGGGGAAACCCCTTTTTGCTGGAGGGGAAAGGTTTAACGTTTCCCAAGCACGTGTACTCACGTGGCGATACAGCCGCTACTTATCAGCCACTCTCGCGTAGGAAGCGAAGCTTTTCTTCTCGCTTGCAATTTACTTGACGCAACTAATTAGCGAGCGAGGAACGATAAACTCTTCTCTCGCGGTAGATTCGCAGCTCCGCCTGCGAAAGATCACGGAAGAAGGAGATTTCTCGATGCACGACAAATTGCTCAAAAAAAGTGCCTGTCGCCATTGATTTTTTAATTCATTAATTCAATCGATCCTTTGGTTTTACAAATATTTAATACGTGTTCAATTCTGTCTTTATTTAAACCTCTGTCTATTTAATTTTGTCCATGTCAATCGTTTCTTCGTAAAAAAAAATCTATTTCTCTTCTTCATATTTTTCACCGACCGTACGTTATTGCAAAAAAGAGCTGTCTCATCGTCGCGATTTTGTAGAAGTAAGTTTAATCGTATCGATTCGAGGGCGGCGATCAACGTGAACGCGCGAAGGGAATGAGGGAAAGAAAGTATTAAAGTGTGCGAGGACTTTGTACTTAATCGCTAAATACGAAACGCTGAAATCCGAAGCGTCGCGTCCGCCGTCAGCTGCTATCTGCTGACACGACTGTCGCTGATAGCAGCAAGAGAGCCGTCTCTCCTCGCGCGAGATGACGAAGGGAAGATTTTGCCCGGCGATCAACGGCTTCCGAGAAACTCGACGAGCCCGGACTCCCCCTTTCTTGTTGACCCTCGGCAAAAGTCGGTTGCGCCGCTCCTCGCGCCATTAAGACACAATCGGCTACCGAAAACCGGTTCCCTCATTGACAATGCGTTAATCGCGCGCGCCGCACAATTGCATGGGTAATTTTTTAATGGCGATGGCACGAACTCTTCGAGTCGGCGTCTTTTCTCCCGGATAAATCGACCGGAGGATCGGATAGTTAATTCGACAGATTGCGCTAACGAATTTCAATCTTTTCTTGAGGACGAAGATCGAGTGGTTCATCATTTACCATTAATTTCATTGAATTAATTTCATTAATTTTCGATATGTCGTTATAATTCTTTATTTTTGATTGAAATATTCCCCTTTTAATTGAAGTACAGATTTAATCAATTGCATTAATAAAATGCGAAATGCGATGCTTTGCATCGATCAAAATGGTCTCGCATAGTCCGCGTCTGGTAACTCCATTTCGCTTCGGAGTAAAAATAAACAGGGATGGACCAGGACGTGCACTTAAATTAGCATTATAATGGACTCATAATACATGCACTTACGCTCTGCCACGCTAGATGTAACTTCAGCGTAATGCGTACGCAACATATAGGTAGATCTACATCAAGGCATACCGGGTGTCTCGTGGGTATCGCGCATGATCGCTCGGTTACAAGTCTCTTGACGAGTTTAGGCTTAGCTAATTAGGATCAGCTAAACGAGAAACTACCAGTAGTTTCAAACATTTCGACGTACAGAAAACGCCGATTCGGGAGAAAGGAAAGACCTGGCGTGCTTATAAATATTTACTTGAGCACATTCTTTAACATGTAAAGAGACTGAATATATATTTCGACATTCTTTTTATTTAAAAAATAATAATGTTAAGATATAAATACGTTAAGATATAACTTTCACGAATAAATTATGTTTATTAACGGGAGCTAATAATGTTCATTAAAAATAAAATTATAAATATGAATTACAATTAGTTAATGAAGCGAATTAATAAGTTACATCAATTGAGCGATAAAGCAAAAAAAAAGGTATTCTCTTAGGGTTTGTCAGGTGCTCCTGGCTTACCGGGCATGCAAGGTGACCGCGGTGACACCGTGTACGGTGTGAAGGGTCAACTTGGCGAACAGGGAGACAGGGGAGAAGCTGGATCACCGGGCAAAGACGAATATAAGAAGAAGGAAAAGTCGACGCCCGTGAAAGGGCCGCAAGGGGCAAAAGGCATAAAGGGCTTTTATGGCGATCGAGGTCGTAAGGGAGAGCTGGGCGCCAGGGGTCCCGAGGTAATTCTGTTATACCAAATACGAGCATAAAATTGTTGATACAGAATAGTATGAACTGCATTCTATAAAAGATTACACTAGAAAAAATATATTATTGATAAAAAATCAAAAGTGTGTAACCTAATTACGTACGTACTGTTTCGTGCATTAAAAATATTTTAGTTAAATATTGTGACAATTAAAAATAGAATATATCTTATTTAGGGTCGACCAGGTTTTTTGGGTATTAAAGGTGTGAAAGGTGAACAAGGTGGCGATGGACCAAGAGGTAAGCAGGGTGCCGAGGGTCCACCAGGCCCGGCTGGTGAGAAAGGAGAGAAGGGAGCTCCAGGATTCGCTGGATTGTCTGGTGCAGATGGAACCGATGTAAGTATCTAAAAATAAACTAAAAAGTATCTATAAATGATATATCTGATTTTTAAAACAGTTTCTAACAAATAAATTTGTTAGTTTTTATTTTTCTTGTTAATTTTAATTTTAAATATTGTTATAATTGAATTTTAAATTAAAGAATTTATAAGGTACTTTTTTAAATACCGGCTTTATGCTCCATAATTTTTTTTATTTTGAATTATTTGTTATTTAAAATTATCATAATATAATTTTAGTATAATGTTATTTTTATTAAAGTGTTTATTAATAATTACAAAATAAAGGGAGAACTAGGAGAAAAAGGAAATCCTGGTCCACCTGGTAAACAAGGGGCTGAGGGTCCACCTGGAGAGTACAATCCACAACTTGATGAGATATTACCCGGAAATATCGGAATCCAAGGAGATCTTGGTATATACATTTGATATATGTTATTCTTCATTCATAAAAATATTTCAATATTTATTCATCTTAAAATGTATGTTAATAGATAATTACTATTATATCTTCAAAAAATAAAAAATGAACAATATCACATATAATATTTCCAGAAAAATGGAAATTAATTAAAATTTTATTTTTAGCTAGAAAAAACTTTTTTTAACCTAAAGTTTTTATTTCTTTCACAGGCCCTCCTGGTGAATCAGGCCAAACAGGGACACCGGGTGTGCCAGGAATTATCGGCTTTATAGGACCGCCAGGCCCACCAGGACCAATAGGTCTCCCTGGTCTAGCGGGAGCGAAAGGCTCGTCCATAAAAGGAGAACAAGGAGATGATGGTACATTTTTATTGCTTTCTATATCGATAACATTGTGCTACAAAGAAAAATACTTTTTTTCTCTCTCCGAAGTGCGACCACACGTTTCTCGTAGATTTTTTCGCGCTGAACACGATGCCGTTTGAAAAATTCGCTTAGCACGTCAGGATTCTGAGTAAAAATACTATTTTTGGCCACTTTAGAAATTTTCTAGCAACAAAACGGAAACACTATTTTTAGTCACTTTCACTCTAAATTACTCAAAATTCTGATAGGCGAATTTTTCAAACAGTATCGTGTTCAGCGTGAAAAGATCTTCAAAGAACATGTGGTTGCACTTCGGAGAGAATTTTGCTGTGGCACAGTGTAATTAATTATTTTATAGCAAATGTCATAAATAATAATTTTGATTTATAAATTATTTCAGGCTTACCAGGACCTATGGGACCTGAAGGACCTTCCGGATATCCCGGTAGACCCGGAATTATGGGACCCAAAGGATTCCCGGGTGCAACGATAACTGGACCGCCGGGCCAAGATGGTATTCCAGGTCTTCCAGGATTGTCAGGACCGCCTGGTGATCGCGGTAATCCTGGTTTTCAAGGTAAACTTAAAATTTATATATTCAAAAAACTAAGAGAAGAAAAACTTCTACAGTTTTTACATGTATGTATACAGGGTGTCCTGTATATATACATGTAAGAACTGTAGAAAAGTATGGCACCCCTCAATATTTCGGAAACTAAGCGGTTTTTAAAAAAATGTTTTAGACAAAAGTTGTAGGGCTTAAAAGAATCTATTTAATGATTTTATCGATTTGACCTTGAGTGGCGTCGCTAAGGACAGGTAAAGGTCAACTTTTGTCTAAAACATTTTCTCAAAAACGCTTAATTTCCGAAATATCGAGAGATTACCATACTTTTCGGATACCCTGTATATATGTATGTATTAAGAACTTTATTTAAAATTTAAGAGAATTAATATAATACACGAAATATACTTTATTTTCTATTATTATTAACGCCATTAGTATCATTTTAATAATTTTATTCGCAAATGGGTTTCTTATTAATCACAAATAATTATAATTATTAAACAGGAGCGAAAGGTTTTCCTGGAAAAGGAATAAGAACTCCTGGTCCAGATGGAGAACGTGGTCTGCCCGGAACACCTGGTATTCCTGGCACTGATGGCTGGCCTGGTTTACGCGGCCCTAAGGGATTTAAGGGTGGTCGAGGAGATGACTGTGGCGTATGTGCTCCAGGTAAAGATTAATTATAACTTGTAATAAGGAGTATTTGCGTAAAAATTTGAAAGATGAATTAAGATATTTATTTTATATTTGTTTTAATTGTCCCACAGGTTTGCCCGGTAGGAAAGGAGAACATGGTGAATCTGGTTTGAATGGATTTCCTGGAGCTCCGGGATTTTCTGGACTACCCGGTCCTCGAGGAGTCAAGGGAATAAAAGGAAAGCAAGGTCCGCAAGGACCGCCTGGGCTTCAGGGCGACTCGGGAAGATCCGGTATTGCGGGACCTCAAGGACCTAAAGGAGAACATGGAAGGGTGGTACTTCCGCCAAGAGAGAGTGTTTTTAGTCCGCCGGGTGATAAAGGTAAAAAAGGTTTACCTGGCCCCGAGGGAATCAGGGGTCTGCGAGGACAACCGGGACCCTTCGGTGACAACGGTGTACCGGGAGAGAAAGGAGAAAAGGTACTTTTTCTCTTATTTGTTTTATAATTATGTAAGCATAATTATTTCTACGCGATAAGACTTGTTAAATATTTTGTAGAACATAATGATTTGATTAATAATTTAATTTATAATAAATTAATTATAAAATTTTTCAATTGCACAAGTTTATATGTACAGCTGATTAATCGTTTTTTTATTTTTCTAATTTAACAATATTCTTTAATATATAGGGTGATCATGGTCCTCCTGGAATACTGGGAGTAGACGGTTTTCCAGGAAGGAATGGTATTCCTGGCGAAAAGGGTGAGGATGTTTTGATACCAATCGAGTTCTTGCGCGGAGATCCGGGATATCCGGGAGAACCGGGAATCAAAGGAATACAAGGAGATACGGGTATTAAGGGAGAACCTGGTCAGGCAGGTACGCAATACACCGCAGATATCAAGGGCGAAAAGGGCTACAAAGGTGCCAGAGGAGCTCCCGGTATGTTAAATTTAAAAAATTTTTTTTAAATATACTAATAATATTTATATTTGATTAAATATTTAATACTTCCGGTATTCTCGTAGGCGAGTTTGGTTTCAAAGGTTTCCAAGGACATCCTGGCGACGAAGGACTACCAGGATTTCCTGGTGAGGCTGGTTCTCCAGGACTTTCGCTGCAAGGTCCCATAGGTTTGAAAGGCTATCCCGGAATGCCAGGAGACCAGGGATTTCGGGGCACATCAGGCTCGCCTGGATCTCAGGGGCCAGTAGGTTTTCCGGTAAGTAAATTGCGCATAAATAATTTTCATTTTGACAGTTTAATTAATTTTTACGTAAATAAAAATAATTTTAATAGAAATTCGTTAAATTCTTACCCGTGTAAGGGAAATAATGTTGCTTGTTACAGGGTCGCATTGGTAACAAAGGCGATCGTGGAGATCCGGGCACAAATTTAACATACGGCGAAATTGGAGAACGCGGACATTACGGTTCAAAGGGTGACTTCGGTGATGCCGGTCCTCAAGGATATCCTGGTCTACCAGGAGGGGATGGTTTAATGGGTATCAAGGGTGATAAGGGAGCGCCTGGTTTCGAGGGGTTGCCTGGACTTCAAGTGAGTACATTCATGAGTTTCTATGAAGATTGCTTCAAGTTAATTAATGTCTACGAAAATGATTTTTTTATGAGATATCTATGAATGATTTATATTAAAGCAATCAATTTGATTTAGGGAGCCAAAGGTCAACGTGGAGACAGTATACAAGGTGTTCGTGGATCCCCGGGAATACCTGGCCTGCAAGGAAATCCCGGAAGATTTGGAGACTCCGGTCGTAAGGGTAAGTACCGAGAAACTATAAATGATTCTAAAACAAGCAGGTCATTCTATGAAATAAATTAGGTTAAATAAAATTAGATGAGTGGAATTAAATCGAATTTCGTTTTTTAATATAATTCACTATGCTTTATTAGACTTTTATCATTTTAGACCTATAGCATGATTGGATCGTTTTAAATAAACTTTTCTTCGCGTAGTGTTAGTACAAATCTTGCAAATTAGAAAAATTAACGTAAATTTCAGGCTTTGATGGCTCCCATGGTTTTAACGGAATGAAGGGCCGGAAAGGAGATATCGGTTTTATTGGACGGCTAGGTGACGACGGTGATGTGGGACTTCAGGGATTGAAAGGATTGCACGGTTCACATGGTCAGCGAGGTGTACCGGGAATAAAGGGAGATATCGGCGAGAGTGGCGAGCCGGGACCACTCGGTTGGCCTGGTGCCAACGGTACAATCGGAGATGTCGGCCCTAAAGGACAAATGGGAGACGCCGGAGTCCCCGGTTCACCAGGAGTGAGAGGGCCGACTGGAAAAAAAGGTGTCACCGGTGATCCTGGTCTTGAGGGATTAGCGGGGATCCTGGGCGAAAATTCTTTCAGCGGTCCCCAAGGTGATGTGGGTGAAAAAGGTTTTCAGGGAGAAATCGGACCGCCCGGTCAGCCTGGATTCGATGGACGACCGGGCATACCGGGAGAGCCGGGAATAGCTACCGACGGCTTCGATGGTCTACCAGGACCGAAAGGTGAACCTGGATTCGATGGATACAATGGTGTTGAAGGAGCAAAGGCAAAGGCATCTTTTTTCATTAAGAATTAAGTTGCTTTCAGAACAAAATACTTATTTTTAAGATGTACAAAAGACATATTATTTTTCACTCCGCCATATAAACAGCAAGAAAGTTTGCAAGACATTATATTCAAATTAGCCGAATATATTTATAGGGAGAAATCGGTGACATGGGTCCCGATGGATTAAAGGGCGAACGAGGCGAGCAAGGCTTCCCAGGAAGAGCAGGCGTGCACGGAATACCGGGAAGACACGGTGCGAAAGGTGAAAGAGGCCCGATTGGACCACCTGGATTTGACGGTTTGAAAGGAAAAGCAGGTGGCAGTGGTGATCCGGGTATAATGGGCAGACCAGGTGAATATGATAACATTCATTCATCTTCATTAATTTAATTACATATCTTAATACTTTTGTATCTTATAATCGTTTAATTTTTTTATCTTTAATTTATATTTTAATAGTTAATGGAATTATATGTTGCACACCCTTATAATTTATAATTTATAAAAGAAGATAAAACATTGCATTGTACTTCAATTAGTATTTTCGAACAAATTATATGTTGCACACCCTTATAAATTAATAATTTATAAAAGAAGATAAAACATTGCATTGTATTTCGATTAGTATTTTTGAACAAATTACAAATAATTGCAACACATTACACTCTACGTTTTACGTCAGGAATGCCGGGTGAGCTGGGTGTGAGGGGAGCCCCAGGTTTTATGGGTGCTCCTGGATCGAAAGGCTACGTAGGCGAACCTGGTTTACCATTTTACGGGCTCGTAGCAAAGGGTGATTTCGGTCATCGCGGCCACGATGGTTTTATTGGTGTGAAAGGACTACCAGGTGAACCAGGAGTGATCGGTGTATTCGGTCGAAAGGTAAATGAACGGACATATAAGTCAGATATTTAAATTTTTTAACTTTGGAAGAAATTATTAATTCATTTATTATAGGGCGAAATTGGAGACAGAGGATATCCGGGTCCCGATGGTTTCCCAGGAATACCCGGTTTCCCTGGTCTACCGGGTGACCAAGGTTTTCGCGGAGCTCCAGGTAATTAATATGAAATTATGTTTAATTAATGTTAATTGCAAACTCTTGTACTTCGAAATTTATTGAGATTGCTTTTGTATTATATTTGTATAAAGCTTGTATTGTACATATAATACAAGTTCTTTCCTTCTTTATTTTTTTTTAATATTTAGAGAGTTTTTAATTTCTTTTTCTTTGATGTGTTAAAAATGTATCTTTGTTTTAAAATTTTATTAGAATTAAGTCGGAATATACAATAACTCTTTTTACGTATAATTAAAAAAAATTAATTCCTAGTAATGCTTCATATTCTAATATATTTTTGCCAATAAAAATCTACAAGTATTTATTCTTTCTTATTTTTTATTCTAGATATCTTAAATCTAGATATGTTAAAATATCAAATTGAATATTTTATTTCATTTGATTTTATTTTTCTATTTATTTGCCCTAGGATTGCCCGGTGAATTTGCTGAACCAGGTGAGCCTGGCCGTGCTGGCCTCGATGGTATACCTGGTATCCCAGGACGTTCAGGACAAAAAGGAGCTCCTGGTGAATACGGTCCGAACGGACCCAAAGGAATCTCTGGCGACATAGGCCACAGCCTTCGCGGTCCTAAGGGAATGGTCGGAGAGTCAGGTAACAATCATTATTGCATTTAATTAATTAAATAACAGGATAAAATTTTAAAAATTAACATTAAGTAAAATTTATTATTTTACGTTTTGATCAGGTCAACAAGGATTCGTCGGCTCACCGGGTCCACCAGGTATAGGAGGATTGCCAGGCAACCCCGGAGCACCAGGACCTAAAGGTTTCCAAGGAGAACGGGGAATATCGGCGGGCAGCAAGAAAGGACAGCCGGGCGAACATGGATGGCCTGGATTAAATGGTCGACCTGGACTGAAGGGAATGAAAGGTGACTCTGGTGCGCTTGGTTATAACGGATTTCCAGGACCAAAAGGAGAAAGAGGAGAAATCGGTGAACCTGGCCTACCTGGGTTACCTGGTCCTGAAGGGCCACGGGTGAGAATTTCGAATTACACTTTTCACAATTTAGATATTACATCCGTCGATTTATTCGCTAACTTCTTCCGCCTTTATTTTTGACAATAGAAATCTTACAAATTTTCTTTAATTTGTTCATCGTCTAATTATTTGTCATATACAACTGTATTTTAAATAATCGAAACGTAAAATCGCGGAACAAGGATAAAGTTATTTCAAATATATATTACGCTTGTAATAGGGACCAAAAGGAAACCCTGGCATAAATCCTTTCCCGCCGTTCCCAAGACGAGGACTCCCCGGTGATATTGGAGAGCCCGGATTACCAGGTATTTTATATAAATTTTGTATTTTATAAAATTTATACATATTTTATAGAATGGAAATATAATACTGTTATGTGGATATGCAGGTTTCCCTGGACTACAGGGAATGGTGGGTGAGCCTGGCAAAGACGGTTTGCCGGGACGACAGGGTGAAATTGGAATGATTGGAATTTCTGGGCCGCCAGGACCAGACGGTAAAACTGGGCCTCCCGGACATCAAGGATCTCCTGGGTTTATCGGACAACGAGGACAACCAGGTATAATTATACGTATATATTTTATATTATAATAAGTAATAAGTGTTAATATGATAATTTAATTCTCAAATTGAAGCGATAGGTTGTTAACAGCAATTAATATCAATTATTTGACTATGCATTATTGAGGAAACAATTTCTTTCGCAGGTTTTCCCGGCGCACCTGGACCGCCTGCGCCAAGCGGAATTGGTCCGAGAGATAGAGGATTCTATTTTGCTCGTCACTCGCAAACCGAAATGATACCGTTCTGTCCAAGAAATACCGTGAAGGTCTGGGACGGATTCTCGCTATTGCACACCATGGGTAATGGACGAGCTTACGCGCAGGATCTTGGTAAGCAATATTAACATATTTTCCATACAAATTATATAATCGAAAAATGAGTCATAACTAACACAAATCCATCTTATAGATATTTCCTAAAATAAAAATAACACGCATATTTTATATAAAAATATTAACACGTACACACCTTTTATTTAGGAAATATTTTTATAAAATATAAAAAAAATTTGAATTACTAATGGCAAGAATCTGAATGCAAGAAGAATGTAAAAGCAATTGTTAAAGCTTGACATTATGATTTTGAAAGTAATCTTCAACAAGAGTATAACGCAACTGACAAATAGTAGAGTATAATGCAAATAACAATTCACAGGCGCTGCTGGTAGTTGTGTCAAGAAGTTCTCCGCTATGCCCTTCTTGTTCTGCAACCTGAACAACGTGTGCGATTATGCCAATCGTAACGACTACAGCTACTGGCTCAGCACAACCGAGCCTATGCCAATGATGATGACACCAATACCGGTTCCGGAAGTTGGTAGATACTTATCGAGATGTTCTGTGTGCGAAGCGCCGACTAGAGTAATAGCTGTTCACAGTCAATCCATGGCAATACCCGAGTGTCCGGGTGGCTGGGAAGAAATCTGGGTTGGATACAGTTTCCTCATGGTAAGATCGACTGTTATATTATATTAATTTTCAATACAAAATATCAATTCCAAAAAATCTGTTAGGCTAGCGTACGAAAATAGACATAACACCCAAGTGTTTCGTATGCATGGTTTTGCTATCTTGATATTTTTAATTACAAAATATATCTTATTAGTGATGCATACATATATTGATCTTTTATCTGTTAACAATAATAATTGTAAGATTTTCGATAAATATCACATTACTGTGTTACTAAAATTATATATATAATTATTGTCAGCTATAAATATATATCATATTTATGTCTCATAAAATTACAGCACAGAGATGCAGGCGCGGACGGCGGTGGTCAATCCCTAGTCTCGCCCGGCTCTTGCTTGGAGGAGTTCCGCGTCAGGCCGTTTATCGAATGTCGCGGCCTCGGCACGTGTAACTACTTCGCCACGGCGACATCGTATTGGCTCGCGACCATCCACGACAACGAGATGTTCCGCAAACCGCTGCAGCAAACGCTCAAAGCCGACCACACGTCTCGGGTGAGTCGCTGCGCCGTGTGCCTCCGCCGACGGGTCACCGAGGTCCTGAAACCCTTCACATCCAACAACGAGCGAGCCCCTTATAATAGAGGCGTTGCTCCGCCGGCGCCGTCGTCCCACAATCTGCCGCCCTACTATCAGGCATCCAGGTCACCGCCACCTGGCCGAGGAAGACATCCCAATCACAATAGGCGCGTGCCCGATTACTCCCGCAGGAGGGATCGCTTACGCGCCAAGCATTGGAGAACAACGCAGTCTCCCAACGACGTGTAGACGCAGCAAAAAATCGCGTATACATCCAGAACAAGCGGCACCAGTGACGAGGGTGCAAGGGCGCAGCCTATGTATATAAAGAAGCAAGAAACTCTTTTTTTTTTTCTATTAATTAAGTTATATCGGCCGGGTGCTTTAGTTCGTATAGATCTTGCATCGGATAGAAAAAACGCGGACGAAAAACGCGATCAGGAACCGCATGGTAAAGGGCTCGAGATAACGCAGACAACATGCACACACAATTCCCGGTCTATCATCCTGTTTGGAAAAGAAATTGTATGGATAAACGTCTTCTTTTTAAGTCGTCGACCATTGAAGTTGAAGTATTGGATATGAAACGCAATTGAGTACTTTTATAAACCTCTCAATTTATCGATGCATTCCTCTCCCGAAAGTCGTAACGGGGGGAAAAGACGAGTTGCTTGTCAAAGCAGCGCGGCGGCTGTTGAATCAAGACCTGAACGGCTGCCTATCTGAAAATCCTTATCCTGGATCCTTCTATCGCACTTGGGAACTCTTGTCGCTGCTATTCGTTCCTACCCTGTGCAGGAGGTCTACGACCCACCCTCCCGGCCATCTCGTCTCTTCCTGCGCGCCCGATAAAAAGCGCCGCCGGCTGCCGTGAAGCCATATAACTGCCTTATGCCAAATAGAAAAAAGAACCTGTCGCGTCCGGCCATCGCAAAACTGCCAATAACGTTGCGCTTGCCGACGCGATTTACGAGATCACACTACAATAATTAAATTAACGTTATGTATATTGTATCGCTGTCGTAACTATTTACCTATGTATCTCGCATTGAATAAAGATCCTTTTATATAAGCCAATCGACGCCTTTCCAGTACGTTTATCTTTTTCCTGAAAAATGGATATAATAATAAATTAAAAAATATCTAACAAGTTAATTGACTTGTAGCTGAAAATTTTGTCTGATGAGAGCAGCGAAGAAGATTGAGCTTCATCGTTTTGTCAGAAGTATTTTATATTTTACAATTTATATCTCATCATCTACAAAATAAAACATAAAAGGAAATCGTTCGGAAGTTATAAAAACATATTGTTTCCTTAAATTAATAAATTTCAATTTAAGGCTCCTGACTAAGCCTGCTAAGTCAAGAACTTTGCATTGACAGAAAAAAGAAATAGTTTTCATCCATTTTTACAAATTTTTAAGTGATCTTATTTTTTTTCATTTCATCCAAATTCTCTTTAAAAATTGCACGCAAGAAACTCTTACGTGTCATTTCTAATACGACGAAACGATTTTGATATGAAATTGAATGAAATTCCGCGGTGGCTAGTCAGGAGCTTTAAATAAAATTAAATCCTGTTTCTCGGTAAATAAAAAAAAGGGGAGTATATCGTGCGTTTAGTACTACGTCTAAAAATAATATCACGCTAAGCTCTTGAGCGAAGGCAGAGATCTGGAAACGATAATAAATGAGAATTAATCGGAAAGAAAGGAGAATGCCGGGAAGGGCGGGACACTTTACGTGTTCGCGGAACGCTGAAAAAAAAAAACCAATTGAAATGAAGCAAGAACACTGAAATCATTTGACAGTTTAATAAAAGGCGAACGGGCCTTCCAGGACACGCGAAGTTCACATACAAGCTCGTCGTACGAAATGAACGTACACGGTGTGAGAGATCGATATTATATTTATATTTATAAAATTATTCATCATTAGAAAGCACATATGATCTATCTATATGACGTAATTTGCTACGCACACCCGCGTACGAGCGTGCCTACGAACAACGCACGCGTCCACACGCACACACACACGCATACACACTGCACGCCTAAAAACGCCACGCGACGTTTTCATCTCGCACCCTGGCATAAGCACGCACACGCGCGGACATACACAAACATGTACGTGCGTACAAATCTTGTTCTTTCTCTCTTTCTCTTTCTCTCTCTCTCTCTCGCTCTCTTTCGCTCTCTTTTTATCTCACTACCTCTCTCGTACGCGTAATATACGTATCCGCGTTCACAGGCGAGTACATGCCTATGTATGTACGTGTACATATTCAGAGTACCTCACGGTTGTGTTTTTCTTTCTTTTTTTTTTGTTTTTACGGAGATTACAACTTTGTAACTGTTTTCGATTGGAAGAAAAAGCAACAAGGGACGAGCAGGCCAAGTATTAATGTCATCACAGTATCAACACCGTCTTTATCGTTATCATCATTCTCATCATCATCATCACCATCATCGTCACACTTGTTTCCTCGCGTCACGGATTAAAAAAAAAAGTATTTTTTCCCAACGTAGTATTTCATGCTATATAGAATATTAAAAAAAACAAAGCAACAACACGCTTGCAAATGCCTATCCGTTTTTTTTAGGCACATGCAACAAACAAATCCGATTCCTTTGCTTTTCATTATGTACATACATCATGTGACTCAAAACACTGAGCGACACGATACAAGCTAACTCCGGTTAAACAATTCGAAAAGTTCAAAATGCGAATCCCTTTTCCCTTCGATAAAAAACTTTCGAAATTTAAAAAAAAAAGCACAAGACGGACGCGTAATAGTAAATATAAAATACACGCCAAAATAACACTAGAATTGCCATACGCGCGTCCGTCGAAATCACATTTGGAAATCACGGTTTTCGAAACGAAACGGAAAAGAGAGACGACCTCCCCCGTGCGAATTCGCAATTTAATCGTGCAATTGAAATTCCGTCGATGCAAAAGAAAACTCGCCGACGTTCTTACTCGCGTAATTTCACCCCCCCCCCCCCGAGAGCCCATCGTTATCGTCACACGCGTCCGAAACCTCTAGTAGCGATTTCTTCCAACTTTTTAATAAGTGGTGAACTTCCTGGAAAAATAAGACACTTGCGTGAGATTTCTTTCATATGTATGTGTACACGCGTATACACACACACACGCGCGCGCGCATAGCATCGTGTGCATATACACGTGTAGGTGTAATTAGATTTCCTCTTTTCCTCATTTATATAACAACAGATGTCATTTAGAAGTAATTTAGTGTGCATCTAAGACCCAAAAGAGAATCATTACCGAGCTATGCAAAATAGAAGATCGATTTCCTTTTTTTTTTCTTTCTTTCGCCATCTCGCATGTATAGATATATAAATATACGTCAATTTATATATCGATTATACATAAATAATGTCCGCATCTATTATTTATATATAACGCGTACATAAACCCACTATACATATATATACATATACATTTATACAATATATTTATATTTATATTTATATAAAGGTACTCTTACTATTGAATAGAAATATGCATATTCCAAGAGTTCAATAATATCAATATTGATATATATATAATATAATAAAATAATATAATAATTATTCTTATTACTATAATAATATAGCAATTGCAACAAGAATATTGGTAATAGTGATAATAATAATGTCGATAATAATAATAATATTAATAATATAATAATAAAATAAAATAAAATAATTAATAGTTATTACAATATAATAATAGTTATAATCATATTAACAACAACAAGTATTCTTTGTCACATTTTGGTTGCAGATTCTTACAATCACAAATATATTATCCATAAATGTAATAGTCGAAAAAGGATGTTAAATTAAGGAGAATACGTGAATATAGAGTGCTCTATTTCTTTCATCTTTTTTTCTTCTGTGTATAGAATAATTAAATCCTATAAATAGTAATCTATCTTCAACAGCCAGTGGTATAGTAAAGTATACCTTTTTTGAGGTACCTATATATAGTTTCCTCTCCTTTTTTTTCTCCCCCCCCGCTCTTGTGATATACCAAATACAATACTGACGGAGAACGCGATACACACGCACACGCGCAAGCACTGACACATACATTCGCACGCACACATATACACACAGGTATCGACAGGTAAAATGCGGATGTGGGTTCATCGTATGCCTGTGACCGTCACAGCGTTATCTCGGTATACGATACACGACATATATCTTCGGTCATCCGAAGCCGAGACGAGAGCCCGAGAGAGAAAGACACTTTCCTCAACAAACAAACAAACAAACAAAAAGAAAAAACATAAAAAGCGACGGGAACGAACGCCGCGAATCGATTCTCTCCGTGTCGCGATACGTCGCGACTTCGATACTCCTGGCACAAATCGCGTATCCAGGAAGTCTCGACGACACAGCCAAACAAAAACGGAAACTTTTGGTCCTTCGAGTTCGAAAAGTAAAAGGAAAGGGAAATAGGTCCCGCCGTTTCCCCCTTTTTTTTATCTCTCTTTTTCTCTCTATCTTTATCTTTCTATTTTCTCATTCTCCTTTTCTCCTTCTCTCTCTCTCTCTCTCTCTCTCTCTCTCTCTCTCTCTCTCTCTCGCTCTCGTACCTTTTTCGACTGATCGACGGGCAACATTCTAGAGAGCACCGCGCGCTAGTTTTGCATTGTATTTGGTGATACGTATATGAATACTGACTCCGTGTGTGACATTACATATAATACAATAGTATCCATTACGTATAAGTGTATATGCATTTTATAACTCTCTTTCTCACGCATTTTCTCTCTTTTTTTCGCACTCTCGCTCTCTTCCGCGTTTTTTTACGTCCTATATATCTCCGTTTCGCTCTCCGCACACTCAAAAATATATTACATATAACTCTTTACTGCATGACGGGATAGTGGCCTGCAGTCACTCGGACTGCAGTAGCTTCTGCAGCAACGATGACTTCGTCGGATCACCTCGTGCCTCCTCCATAGTAATCTGAAATGAAAGGGCCTCTCGTTTAAAATCGTATTCGCTATTCCCGATGTCAATGAGAATTTCGAAACCGATCGCGAAGAGTATAACATCTATAGAGTAACAGGACAGTTACAAATTCAAGATATTAAAGAATCAAGTATTTTCTTCGACATTAAGATTTAAATCTTTGGCACCGAAGTACCTTTGTCTTTAGTATCCCAAAAATTTATGAGCCCAACTAAATGATGAAATTAATGGAATCAATGCACCATGGGACCAGAAATTGTTTAACAAAATTATCTGTAAAAATCAACGACACTGGAAATTTGCAAAATCATTAATAAAAAAAAACGGCGAATTTACAATAATGTGATGTGAAACTGTATAGATTCAGTGGTGCTTTTGCAATTAAGGATTTATAGCACTAATCAGCTTCGGTGTCAGGAATGTGTGAATTCAGGAATATGTGCGTATAAAAATCAGCAAACCTAATTTTTAAAATTAAAGATTCATAAAATCAGGAATTAAAAATTGAAAGTAGCATTAAAATTGACAATTGAGATCCGTGAAATTAAAAATTTGCAGCACCAAAAGATTTAAGGATTTTAAGGATTCGTGAAATTAAGTTTCTGCAAATCCAATATTTGTGACACAAAGGATCAATGGGGATTCAATAAGGAGCGAGAGCTCTACAGTGAATATTTCTCCGACAATCGGTTTGAAATCACTCTGATGATTGACAATCTACCGCGATATTTCTATCATACGAGATTCAAGTATTAATCTAAAGTATTTTCAAATAGCAGCATTAATGGTGCAGCCCGTGTCTCTCGTATATTTAATACCCGCGTATAAAGACGTTTATGGAATAATCGTTTAGAATTTCATAAGATTGCAAGGATCCACGCATTTGAAATTCAAGTCTTCGTTGTTCAGATGTGTGAATCCTTCTCGAAAATAGTTATCTCCAAACAATGTTTCGCCCTGACAAACTTAAAGAACAGAAATCTGAAGCCACATAGCAACTACACATCCAATATCTCAATGCACAACAATGATCGCTACTGTAAAATCTTTTGAACGGAATACTCCGCTTTCAATTGCCAATTGAGTATCATTTTTTTTACTTTACGATCGACTTTACTTACTTACTACTTTACTTACGATCACAAGCGTAACCTAAAAGTAACTTTCTCGCTTTTTTATAGAAAAGATCCAGTAGGATAGCAATTGTTGTATTCTTTTATTTTTGTTTAATTAATTCTGATCAATACTTAAAGTAAAAATTTGTAACTCGTTATTATTGATACTCGTATTAATGATAGATATTACTGTTAGATACATTATCATCTAGATTGAAATAAATTTAATTTTATTTTTTTGCTTGGTACGCGATTAACACATGTAAATTACATCAAACTATCGCTGCTAAACAATATACTTGTTTTGTAATTTATTTTATTTGCAAATATCGTAAATTACATACATATATATGTATATATATATATATATATATATGTGTGTATGTATGTATGTTAAAAAACCCAATTGACTTTTTAAATTAATAAATTAATCGCGTTCCAGTTGAGTTTCCTTACAGGTAGCTATGATATACTCGATATACAGAACATACATTTAGAAAATTGTATATTTAAATTGTATGTTTAAATTTAGAATGTCTTTCTAAACCCTCCTCTTTGTAGCATTAGCGGGTTTCCTCATGCAATAAGAATAATCGTTCTCGGAAAAAAAAAAGAAATTAAGAACTACGCGTAGATATCTAGTTGGCTCACTGTGAAAAAGCATTACTAGACGTACGTTATACAATACAACAAATGGTAGTATGATTACTGATTACTCCGAATGAGCTGAAGCTTACAACACCATCACCCTGTAGATACGAAAAGAAACACTTTTGCTTGGCATCCCCTACATGGACGCTCAATAATATATGGACGGGAATGAATGCATTGCGCTGAGATCTTTAAGAATATCTAAAAGAGAAAATCACGCGCGGCGCACATGGGTAAAATCCCAGCTTCTTGAATGCGAAGAATTGCTCTCCATTTTCAATTTAATGTAAACTTGAAAAATTTCAATTTAATAATAATGTAAATTATAAATTAATTTTACTTAATAATCGTCATACAATGAAAAAAATTAATTATGAAAATAAATTACTATAAAGGTAAAATGCATTGATAAAATTATATTTTATGTAAAATAGTTTTTAAAACTATTTAATACGATGAATATTTCATTATCAGATTTTCTTTATAAATTTACATCCTAACTCTTATTAAAATTCTTAATTAGTTACCATCGTTTTTCCTATTTTTTGGCCATCGAAAAATTAATCTTTTAATAGATAATTAAACTTTAAATGAAAATTTTGTTAAAAAGTCTGCTTAAAAAATTAATAAAAATAAAACTGTCTTTTATATATTCATATTCTCACACAAATTTTTTCCATTTTCAATTCTTTACGAAACTATAATTCAAAATTTATATTGAGAAAAATGATGAAAGTTAGATACGTAAATATATTGAAATCCTGAGTTTTATTTATACCATCTAATCGCATAAACTTTCATAGATCTGCATATTTTCGCGTATTTCTCTAACATTTTTAATTTCACTATAAGTAGTTTTATCTAATAAATCATGAAATTAGAGCGGAACGCTGGCGCTGTGTCAGCCGTACGCTTGCGTGAATGGAATAAAAAATTAAAAAGAAGTTACTCGCAGTTAATGCAGCCGGAGAATTACAATTAGTCTTTGCACAAAAAATAATGTAACTCGCGCGCTACATTATGCAGACAGAGGCAATTAACATGTTTAGCTAATGCGCCTCAATAAAGTCCATCTCGTATAAGAATCTAATTGGCGTGATAACAAAATCAGCTTGTTTAATACTAAACATAGCATTTCTCATTGACACTGAGTGTAAAACTTAAATGTCTTCATCGGCAACATTTAACACATTATTGCAAATGCGTACTTCTTAATTTAAAACAAAATATAAAAAACTTTTAATGTTTTGCAAATGATATATAAATATTAATTCTAATTTCTATTTTTGTATAAAATTACTTTTGTAACATTAATTTTTTTTAAATATTTAATATATAAAATTTCAATTTATAAGAATATAAACTTCAATATTTTATGTATTATATTACAAAAATTTCGCGATTTATTTTTTAATTTTAGAGATTTGTAATAGTCAAAGTCACTAAAATACATAATTAAATTTTGATAATTTCATTTGTAATATAAACAAAAAATATATAATGCTTAATTTGTGTAAAAAGATAAGAATTATATATAGATTTAGAAAGTTATTTTTTATAAAAAAAATCAAATTCTCCATTCTGTTTGATCGATTAAACTAAAAAAGAAGTAGAAAAAAATAGTAGTAGAAAGAAAAAGTAGGAATAAATTCTACAACTATAAAGCCAATCCCTAATATAAAAGATTAGATAATTCATAGCTTCGCCAAATAAATGCTATCTCCCTCAATTCTTCTTCAATTCAACCGTAATTTTCATCAGGGCACGTTTCTACTTTAGCATACACAAGAATTGAATCTTCAACTAAGTATATACGACTATTGCGGAAAATCCGAGAGAATTATCGTCACGTGCGAGTACTGTAACGATAATGCTGAGTATCGTAATATCGTCGAAACGACGACTTTGCATGCATTTGTAGAGCGACGTAAATTTAAAAAAAAAAAAAAGTAAGTAACCCCATACAAGTTTTACGCTCAGTGCGCAAATAGAGAGAGATCATTAAACATGTTTCGTGCACAATCAGTTCTGAAGCCAAGCGTATAGAGGGAAGACATAGCATAACAAAATCAAATAAAAAAAAAAAAATACGTAAAAGTAATTATATATTGTCGGAATGGGGCTCTTACCCTGGAGGACGAGGGGGCACTTCCGGCGCTCCCCCAGATCTTGGCGGGGCCATCGCTAACCACAGCCTCACCTAGTTAGGACATCGTAACAGTAGGCGTTACCACAGTCTTTGTACAACTAGAGTATTATATGCCTCTCCTTACAAGAAGCGGAAGATTATCGCGTAGCGAACGCACGTGCTTCAGCCTGTACATTTGACTCGTACGACTCTCGATCGACCGAGGACTCTCGCTTCTGTCTCTCTCGTGAAAGACTTGCGAATTTATATATGTATGTACAATTAGCTTCACTCCGATCAAACGCGACGAGAAGAAATCCACAAAATCGATATTATCTTCTTCTTTTATTATAGCGTAACAGAAGCAAAATTTTATTCATAATATTTTCTGCATTCCGAACTATCATACGAAGTATTCGGGCTTACGTATCTCTGAAATTTCTACATGCAGATCTCACGGAGAAACACACACGGGGGGCCTCAGGAGATGCGTTGTAAATCAGTGTAATTAGTTGTAACAGTAATCGCGTGCGATGACGAATCTAGAAAAATGTGCGTGATCTACGAGGGGGAGACTATAATGCTTGTAATACTTTTTCACAGTACTCGCTCATGAAACTCACGTCGTATGAGAGAGATTGATATCAGGACCAAAGTTAACATTGGGATTCGATACGAAGTTTTGACAAAATTCGAAGGAGGAAAAGCAATGCCTCTATATAGAGATACATACAAAAAGTGCAAACTTGTCGAATTTAAAACACCTTCGTACGATCGATAACTTTCGACTCGAGTATGCTGAAAGCACACTACGAAGAAATATCTTGCATTTTGAAAAATAAATAACTCCCATATGCCTCACACTTTGTCTTCAATGATCACGTAACTTTTATAGGTATAATAAGAAAATTATGTCCATATTTAAATATAGTCATGTATATATTTTTAACTTGTACGACCGACTCTATCAAAAGCGCGATGCTAGACTGTATAAAATGTACGCTGCGCGCAACTCTTCATTCGATTCGATTACTCTGCATTTAACATTCTAATTCCGAGCAATGCACAATTGTCATTGCGTGAAGATAAAAATAGGAAAAAAGAAATCAGAAAGAAATTAACACATCACGTAAGAAAATGTAGCTTTACTGAGATCCTCAGTTTTGCCATGTGAGCTCACTCGTAGATAATGATTTTCTGAGTAGCCGCCTCTATATGCGATTTCGAAGTAGCTTCGGGAAACAAAGGTACGCGCGAACAAAAGTACGCAGTGCACATACCTGCAGAAGGCATCTCGAATGTCAGACCAAGTGCTTCAAGATCGTCCTGAGAAACTTGACCAGAAAGATTATTCTGTAGATTATTGGGCACTCTCTGTTGCTGCTGCTGCTGCTGCTGCTGCTGTTGCATTCGCGCGCCAACAATCGCCCTCACTTCTTGCCGCACGAATTCCGAGGTGCTGGCGTTACCTACAACAAGAATAATCTTTATGAGCAAAGTGTCGCCGCAATAATGTGTTATATCTCCTTTGCACGTCTCAATTTCCAATCTGTGCATTATTTGCGAACGTGTGTGTATATACAATAATATGTGTATGTGTGTGTACGCGTGTGATTTTGAATATTCATTGTATGAATTCATTATATCCGTCATAATGCAGAATACTGTATTTGTGGCACAAAGATTCTGTGATAATATTATAGCGAGTACATATTAAAATACATCTTATGTCATAAATTCAATTCCATTTCTCGTTCAATGAGACATAAAAAAACTGCATACGTGGTGTAATTTTTCTCTACAACATAGATCCTTTAGTATTGATCTGCTTTTTATAAAGCATTTATAAACATTTATTGAATAAATCGCTGGTATTAAATATTTTGACACAATTATATCTAGAGATAAAATTATTTTAAAATTTAAAAATATAAATATTAAATACACATTTTTCAATATAACTTTTAGAAGTAAAGATATAAAGAAAAAAGTTTTTACGAGGTGTGTCCAAACGCGTCTAAAAATTTCCCGGCATTATTTAAAAAAATAAAACCCGAAATTTAACATTGGACTAATATTTTATTTGCCGTATGGATGATCGACTGTCGGAAGGAAAAATTCTCAAGTATTCAAAAATTTCTATCCCGTATCTAATCAGTGCAACGGAAAGGTTTATCGTATGACAAATAAAACTTTCACTCACAATATTTTTCTTCGAAATTTTCCATCGTTTTTTTTTTACTTCCCTAGAGGCTTAATGCATCGTTCCCGTGTTATTCGTAGAAAAAACTAATTTTAAATTTCTTTATATAGGGAAAAATAGATATCGCGTCGTTTTTCTACTAGTTTTTTTTACCAGTCCCCAATATTTTCTATGAGAGGACTACCTGTTCTATTAGCAATTTGTATTCGAAAACATAGCATGACTCTTTTATATCCTTAGTCCCTATAGATCCCGCGCAGCATGACTTTCTTATTGTTCTCACATTTGAAATAGGCTTGAAAGGAAATTTTCCGAGAAGCACGTAAAAGACACTAAATAAACGTTTAAAAAAGGACACTAAAAATCACTAGAAAAGGCACTGAGAACGCTGCACTAATAGCGTTTTCGATTTGTTGACCCGATCCGACTCCGAGTCGATGGTCTGTTCTTTTTAGCTATAAAAAAATAGTTTAAGTGTACAAGAAACGCTAAAAAGAACAGATTATTTTGACTCGGAGTCGGATCGAGTCAACAAATCGAAAACGCTATAAGCCATAAGATAGGCATTTCGAAGAAAGTGCTCGAAGGTGGTCAAAGGTTTCGTTTTCCAATTTTCTTTTCATATTTTAATTTTCTTTCTTTCAAGATTTTTCAGATATCTCCTCATGTAATAAATAAAAAAAAAAAAATCTTTTTGTGTGATCTGTGTAGTCAAGAAAAAGTACACGACGAACCCGAGCTATCTTATCTATTTGCTTATCACGAAATTTTAATCTTTTATAAGATAAATAGGTGCATATACGACATGACAGATGGAGTTGATAAAAAAAAAAATGCGCAAAATATATAAAAATATTAATCACGAAAGCTCGATGCACTGTACACAAAAGAGAGGCCTCGTTGTTAGTAAATGTTTCCACAGCACGTAGAGATAAGCGGTGTCTGAATTTATCTTTTTACATTGTGATGTTATATTACACAGATGAACACAAGATGTGTGATCCCCTTTCCCCCTCCCCTCCCGAGAGATGAGAGAATGATTAAGACGTAAATGAATCCGACGTCGCATTTGCTACTTTCAGCGCTTCCCGCGCTACGCAAAAAAAACAGAATACTGTCTATCAATAATATATGAGAGATTTCACTTCCTGAAAATACCTTAATAGCGTCAATATTCTTCGAGACTTTAATTCAAGCTTACGCTATATTTTCAATCGTGTTAACCACGATAACCATTTTGCGTATTAAAAATGTGTACGGTCGAACTATCTTAAATTTCAATCGTCGCCATCGAAACTAATACACCGTAAACTGGACCCGTAAATCTCTCCTCTTGCGATGTTCTCCCACTGTTCCACTTTTTTTTTTTTTGCCACGCGTGTATAGAATGAAAATGAAATTGCGAACACGTATGGGACGGTGGCTGCACCGAGACAACGGGTGTGCAGCGACAGTTCGAATACGTGGTCGATTCTTACCTTTAGATCCAGAAAATTAACCTCGGGTTACCAGAGAGAGCAATTCAATAATTGCCGAGCGAAATCATTTTCATTCTACGCATGTGCTATTAGAATGTGAGAACCGAAGGGGAAGTTGAGAGTAGAGAGTTTGCTTGGTCCCAATGACTTGAAATTAATAATGAATTCGGTTGGACGCGCACTAGTGAATGCTTAAAGCCGTTGTACACTGATCTAATCTGAGTGTAAACATATAATGCAAATATTTCGAATGATAAGATGCCCTAATCACACTTCAAACAGCAGGATGAAGTATGCTCGACTGTTCTCGAGAATTTCTCGATTTAATATATATTTAATTACACAATTACCTTTACGCCGAATTGCGTGTACGACGGCTTTAATGCGCATTAATCGCGTTCAATCGAATTCGTTATAAGAGAGTACGGCTATATTCCTCTTAATTACATACGCGACAATTACAATACGATATAATATAATACAATTCCGTTTCGGAATCTTTGATATTGTCAACGCAAAGATGTCCACGATTATGCGCAAACAGAGATAGATGTTAATCTATCTCCATTTGTGCATAACCGTGGACACCTTTTGCATGGATAATTGTAACGATACTCATAACGTTGAGTTACCTTCCAATAATCCAAGATAACTCAACGTTATTACATTCAGTGCTGTTGCTCGCAATGATTTTATTCTTCGGTCATTATCAATGCGAACGGAGATAGATTAATATCTATCTATCCCCGTTTGTGCATAACCGTGGACAATTTTTGCATTGATAATGGTAACGATACTCATAACGTTGACTTACCTTTCAATAATCCAAGGTAATTCAACGTTATTACATTCAATGCTGTTGATCGCAAATGATTTTATCATCCATCAAGGAAATTAAGGAAATAACACAAACACGCATATGGCTCTTATAAAAGGTAAAATTTTGTTTTTTTTTAATTACAAAATTGCCAAATTCGTGTGTAAGTAATAAACGGTAAAATTTTGTTTCTTTTTTTTTTTTAATTACAAAATTGCCAAATCCGCGTGTAAACAACACATATTGTAAAACGAAATATCCGAAATAATAATTTTCATATGTATATTTCGATTAAAAAAAACAGAAAATGGAAAATATAATTTTGTTATACATCGTTCCATTATAGCATCGTTACGATATTATGCGACTTACAGTAAGACAAACGTAGCGATACAATCTCGTGGTAGTGTTTTAGCCACTCCACATACTCGTGAACGGTGCAAGTACCGACGCTAAATCGTAATACTGATGCTATCACGTATTTTACAAAACTAAATAAACTTATCTTATTAGGGTGGTACGATTTTTCTTAAATTAACTAAGCTCAACTATTTTCTACGTCGAAACTGTCTAACTTGTTGAAATAACGCAAGTGTGAATGGCAAACAAATGACAGGGTGAAGCAAGAGAAAAGAAATGCAGAACAAGGTGATCGACAAGCACAGTTAGACAGTTCGACTCTCCTATATTATTATAGATTCACAATTCGTCAATTTGGATGATTCATCTTGATTTCTTTCGATTAATCACATGTTTTCGACGCTATTCATTATGCACAATTACTTCGAAATCAGAAAAAATGTTCCTACTATCTCTTGTCGTCTTGTACATTTTAAAACATGTAACCTGGTAAGAGAAGATGAAACATTCCATACGAAACTATAATAATTATAGAAACGTTTACTTAAGATTTACTTGTAATATTATAGGGGACTACAATAAGAGAATAAAATTCGGAATTGATCTTAGTGCAGTAGTAAAAGTTCGGTGATAAGTGGATCGATACAAAAGTTGACACAATACAACAAAAAATGCTATTTACAATCGACAGGGTGCAATTATAGCCCTTTCGGCCTGATGAATCTGATGATGGAAATCGTGTTTGTACACATCATAGCATTCGTTGACATAAATGATTTTCTTCTGAGATGATCACAAAGATGTAAATTATCAGCTTACACACATTTAGCATTATAGTAATAGTTAAGACACTTAATGGAAATTACAATTGTTTAAAGAAAGCATCATGCAACATTTATGGCATATATTCTTATATTTATGTAGAATAATTTAACTAACACATGAAAATGGCTCTCTCAAATGAGGAAGGAGTAATTTTGGTTTGTGATTTTGTCAATTAAATATAAGCACAAGATTTAGAAAAATTAAAATTTAAAATATATTAAATAATATTAAATTAGGTACATCTATCCCCACTTAAATATCTCTTGCTTGTTTATTACAGAACATTAATATTTCGAAATTAAAAAATTATACAATTCAATGAAAAACTCACTCCTAAATTAATACACATAGTTTGATTTGTCTCGAAAGCTATAATTTTTGTTTGAAAAAATTTGATTTTCATTTAAGAAAAGTTTAATGAAATAATGAACTTCTCTAAAAGTATCTAGTAAATTGAATTGATCGCTATTTTGTGCCTGCCTTAAAGTCACACTATTTTTCTCTAAAATATTTTCTTGTAAAAAGCATAGAAGATAAAAAAAGATATGTAGGGATAGATATTTAAAGAACAATAAAATAACTTTCAATACATGTTACAAAATTAAATTAAAATTTTTCTAACTGAATTTAACATCAAAAGCAGAATATCCATAATGGATATAATTGTTCGGTAAATTAATTTATTACTGAACACAATTTTAATAAAACACAAAGAACTGATCAGAATTAATTAACTCTTGATAAAATGTCAAATAGTCTTCTCTCTTATTTCATAAATATTTTAAACAATATTCGAGGTAGTTGATTGACTGACTAGCTCTTATATCATATTGTAAGATACACTAAGAGATATTTTTTGAGCTACATTGAATAGTATCAATGACTGACTAGCTCTTACATTATATTGTAAGATACATTAAGAGATATTTTTTGAGCTACATTGAATATCAAAATATGGATTATTCAAAGTACCTTATATCGTGATCAACACAGTGAATATTGTTGAAAGAAAAAACGAGAAAGGCAAGAAAGAGAGAGAGAGATTTACATGTTTCCATATTCCCAATACATGCTTTACTTCTGGTAAAATTGCCGCTGCTGGTAGTGACGCTGGTAGTGACGATTTTGCTTGCGATTTTTCTTTTGCATTTTTATGTAGTAAGTTTTGGAGCTATGATTATTATGATCTTTAAACGAGGAATTATAGGGACATCGTGATGGACAACAACATGATGAAGTGTCATATGGCATTAAGAAGTCAAGTGTCTTACCACCTATTTGGTGATTGACAGGATTACCGGAAGGCAGTGACCTGGCATCTTGCGCCTCCCCGCCAGACGAATACAGCGGTACTGACGACCGATCGTAACAGAACTGATTGTTCTGCATTTCTGCCGTGTTGATAGTGTTGGCGTTGGTGTGTTGGTATAACATGGGGGTGTGTTGTTGGCTCGTAAAGTGTTGTGTATTCGTGGCATTGTGTTGATTATGGGTAGGTGTTGCCGGGCAAGCCGAGTGTGAATGACTAGGTGAAAGAAGAGGTTGTTCCTTACTCACGCCGCCGTAGTGCCTAGGCGATCCAATTCCACCTGCAACATCAATCGTGTATACCGCGTTGCTCACCGTTAGTTCTTGCCGTACATTTAAAAAACGCTTCTATTTCGCTTTCCATGTACCATGCCAGCGCTCATCGTCAAATAGCCACGCACATAATATCGAAATCGAAATCTATAATATGTTGAATAAATTAAACAGCCGGCTGTGTGATTGATGCACCCGGAAAGCGCGCCTCGATTCCGCTAGCCGAAAGTCAAAAGCAGATACAGTTTTATGCCAAATAAAGAAGATTCTTGCGAGATTATCAATAAATAGGTCTCTCTCGACAATGCTATTTTCGTTGGATTTTATATTCGCAAAGAATCGGTCAGCAAATATTATATGATATAATTAAAGGCAGTCAAAAGGTTTACAATAAATACATATACTAATATTTGATGATTAAAAAATCGTTAAAAATGTGTCCTTTAAAAATCAACTGCCACATGTAATACAGTACATTAGTCTCAATTTGTTGAAATATTTTTTAAATCTTATAATTATACTGAAAACCTAGACTCATGTTAAAAAAAAAAAAGATATTTGTTGAAAGTTGAAAGAACCTAAATTCCCGTGAGTAAAGAAATTAATAAGACCTTCCGTTTGAGAGACAGTAGATAAGAAAATTAAGAGCTAAGAAAGCGTTTCAATCTCTAGAATAACACATCGCCACCACTCATAAATTATTAAAAGGTCAAATCACAAATTATGCAAAATCTGCTACATTACTCAGAGAGTTACGCTTTCCTTCTATAAGAGAATTCGTATGACACAATATTATGTAATTTCTATTCACAGAAAAACATCGAGAAGTATAGCACAAAAGAAAAATACTAATAAAGAGTCTACGCGCATACCCGACTAATCTACGCACGGCTTTCACAGTTTTAGTAGATTAAACAGAGTTAACCTTAATCTGTACATACTTACCGACTTCGGAACAAAATATTTCGTATATCTCAAAATCACAGCTTCCATCGCGCGTTATAATTACATATTAAATCGCATATTGGCTTTATATAAAAGTCAGCTTAACGAGCTTCTATGTAGAAACTAGTACGCAAATACTTACTTAAGAGTATCTTTGTTACTACCCGAACGAAGTAAAATCGAGTTAACACGTTCAAACACATTAAAATTAGATGTAACCGCCTATTTGAGACACGCAATAAACTTCCCTCTTATTACAAAAAAACGTGACCGTAAATTACGACTTAAACATTAAATAACATTACATTAATCTTCTCAGTAGCGAAGTCGATTTACCGATATTAAAAATTACAAAGAATATGATAAGAAGTAGCTACGAAAATCTTTCAATTGCCATGCAAATTCTTTCTCAAAAGCTGTCAAGTTTTCAAATCAATTGAAATGAACACGCGCGTGTGGTACGGTAAAACGACTTCCCGAAGATGCTTATATGTTTAGTCTTACAACTAAATATATAATATTCGTCGTTTGTTCTTTCGCACACCGCAATGTAAGCCACTACTTGTCACTACTTCATTGCTATTAAGCAATGAAATAACAAATGAATACTTAAGTAATTTTCTATTTTAAGTAATACATATTTTGAATTTTTTATACTTCTAATCAATATTATCCAAACATCTGTCATTGTTTCAAATTCGAAGCAATATAATCGTACAATAGGCCGCAAGAACTTTTTCCTGTTTTTCTTCACAATCGGTCCTGATTATTTTAACTGCGATAATCCTAATTATCTTTTAGCATTAAAACAGGGAAATGGATAACGATCATTTAAATCGGGAAATATATAACGATATCTGTTAGCGTGTGAGAAGCAACACGTACCTGGCAATTGTGTCGTAGCAGAAGGCGTAGACGTGGTCCGTTGCAGCCTATATTGGGCCGACGGATTTGGCGCGCCAGTATTGGGAACTCCCGGTGGGAACTGGCTGGCCGTGGGCGACGTCGGTGGAGGAAACGCCTCGGCAGGGAACGGGGATTGCCGGGCGGAGGCCGCCGTCCCCGGTGAGGGCATCGATCGTTGCTGTTGCTGCTGCAACTGTTGTTGCGCCGTGACCTGCTGCTGCGGCCTCACCTGGTTCACGTTGAATAATCTCGGTGTGTTGCCGTAATTGCCCTGGCGCATATCGTGCAAACGTATAAAAATATTCACAGAAATAAGGATATGTTAAATATAAAAAGAAAGGCCTAAAAGCAGAAAATATAGAGGAAGGAAAACAATATAGATATCGTACTATAAAATACAAGTAGAAAATTCAGCGTATAATAATTCAAGCTTGTAGTCGTTTTTATGCGTTGCATTAACACTCGGCATAATTATTCACATAAACATCAATTAAAATTTCCTTTGCATGTTTCTACATTTCAAATAAGATAATTAAGTCACAATTAATTCTAACTAATGCCTCTGGGGGCGGCTTGTGTACGAGTATATTTTCTGTTATAATCTGATGTAACAATTTTTCGCACTCACTTGTGCCACCCGTGGCGATAACGGCGGATGAGAGAACGACAGCATACCGGCCGGAGAATGTGGCGAAAGCCTCGCCGCGGCAGACACTTGTTGACCACTGTTGAAATTGTTATTCACAATGTGGCTGTATAACAAAAAGGAAACCCCATGTTATGATGTACCTTTAGTAAAGGTATGTTAAGCCTCTACGACTGAAATAAACAATTCGGGACGCTTAACGTAACAAGATACTTACTGCTGCTGTATCGTCGATGGATGGGAATACGAATGAGTGAGTCGATGACCAGAAGCCATCTGGACGGATGCCCCATAGCCTGGAGAAACTTGTGAATCTGGGACACTCGATCGCTGAACAAAAGAAGAACATTGCACATATTTAGCAATATAGTTCTGCCTGTTTAAATACAAAACGTAGCAGTCGCTGATTTTTATTAGAGATGAATTAATGCAATCAAAAGTGCTATCGAAAATTATATATATTTTGTACAATTTGATTTCGAAATTTTAGATATCATTTGTTATCATTACTCAATGTAAGACGAGAGAGCAAGAAATTTCTCTAGTGATATTTTATTTTTAACTTCTTTCCTTGTTTTTATTTCTTTCGTTATAAATTATATACCTGCAACGATACATTCGGCGGCGCAACGGTATTATTCAAAAGGTTGTCGATATTGTGAATTCCACTGCTAATTTGATCCGTCGCAGTAGCATTCGACGGGATAAGCAACTGCTGTTGCTGCTGTTGTTGCAATAATCGTTGCTTTTGCTGCTGCTGCTGCTGCTGCTGTTGCTGCTGATGTATGAGCTTAGAACGTTGCTGTTGCAGCTGCTGCAGCTGCGTAAACTGGCCGGTCTGTCTGATGCCCGGTTGGGCGTTGAACCTCATCCTGGGCTGTTGATACATAGGAGGTGGCTGGTAATTGTGACTGGAAGTCGTCACGGGTGTCGTTCCCATCTATAACAAAATTCAATGACTTTTCCTTATAGAATTTGTAAGACGACACACAATATGAATTAAAAAATACTTATTTAGAAAACGGACAGGATTAATTCAAAATAAGTGATTTAGTTGAAGAAAAAAAACTTACCGCAGTCGAATAGGCTGGAGGCGTGCTAGACATAGTTATACTGGAGGACGTCGAATTCACGTCATTCTCCAACGACATCAACGTCTTTTGAATAGCGTTAATGGCCATTGTCTCGTTCATGGCATTGTTCTCCGGCACTTCGATAACATCTAGAAGATGTCCTATTATAAACCAATCTATTAGATAAGAAGTACACAGTGTGATTCGTAAGTTTTAAGACTGATCTGTTTACAGCAATACCAATAGTAGTGGAAATTATCGCCTGAGCAATGTACCCGTAATTTTCAGCTATCTATATGCAAAATTTAAATAGTCTACGATTATAGCTGATTTCGAGTAAGTTATTGTTCTGTATTTTTCCATAACATGCTGAAAAAAAAACACGCTGCACAAACTCACTTACTTACAATAACTCGTTCGAAATCAGCTAATCGTCGACTGTTTAAACGCATATAGTTAGCTAAGAATTACGCGAGTTCATTGTTCGGGCGGTAATTTATAGATGGTGATACTGGCACTGTCGTAAAAAAAAAAATCTTAAAACTTAAAGACCGCATTGTGTATTATCTTTATAATAATACATATAATTACTTTCGCTGCCACGCGTGACTGGTTGCATCATTACTTGCAGAAGATTGATTGCTAAAACAGTTAAAGAGTTACTCAAATCTATTGCTATTTCGCAAAATATTCAAAGCTAATCATGTGATATTTTATAGTAAAAATGACACAAAATAAATAAATTTAGATTTTTCTTAGTATGCAGAGCGACAACGAAAGTTTAGATATGTATTTATACGAAACGTACAATTTTATTCATAGATAAATGACTGATTAAAACTTCATCATTCAATAAAATTTAAATGTAATCATTATATATATGTATATATAAAAAAAAAGGAGATATTGTAAACTTTTATACTGAAATATAAATTATATCGAAATATAATATATTGTGTCTATAAAATCAGGGAATCAAAAGATTATCGTTCCAGCATTTTGTTGTAATTACTTGCGATAGCTTCGTCCGGGACAAATTCGATAACTTGATCCAAAATTTCCGAGAGATCCGGATCCGACGACTGATTATCCCAGTTGGTTGGATCGTTCCTAGCTTGACGATATTCTCCGCTACCCGCAAACTCGGACTCGAGTCCCATTTGGGGCCTCTGTTGCTGCAAAAAAAATATATATATATATTTAAAAATTGCTTAAAATACATAATCAATATAAGGATATATACAGCAAAAATTTAATTATTCTTTATTAACTCTTTAACTGCAAAAGGTATGTGTATCTACACATTGTATTGTATATATATTGTATATATATTATGTATTGCATATATGCTCAATTATTAATAGAAAGATAATGTATATACAATTATGTTCCATAACGGATGATTTTCACTCAAAATACTACAATTTTTAATGTTCATAAATTTAAATTAAATCAAATCGCGCTCACCTGACTTAGCATATGACTGAGGTAGGTATTGGTTGCTTGACGAGGTAGTTGTCTCGACTGGCTTTGGAGAGGACGCGCCGACGTCGCGGTCGTCGTGATCGCATTATTACCACCAACTTGCATATTGCCACCGGTCCAAGGCTGCTGTTGCGGCTGTTGTTGTTGCGACTGCTGCTGCTGTTGCTGCTGCTGCTGCTGTTGTTGCTGCTGCTGCTGCTGCTGCTGCTGTTGTTGTTTTGTTGAGCGAAGCATCTTATTATTCTCCTAATTAAAAGATTAATTATAATTATTATTTCCAAAATTCAAATATTTCTTATATTTTTTATTTTTAGAAGAATTAAAAGATTAATTATAATTATTATTTCCAAAATTCAAATATTTCTTATATTTTTTATTTTTAGATAACTGAACGTAATACTAGTCTTGCACAGTTAATAACTTGCATTCAGAGACTGCGTTCCGATATCACTGCAAGCACTGAAAATCTGTACCTAATATACGTTACGTGCACTATAGATTTTCAACACTGAGAGTGAATCTCGGAACGCAGCCAGAGTACTACAATCGTTTACTGAACGGCAAGGTAATTTGAATGTGATTGGTTCTTAAGAATCCCGTCGTTTCTTACGAACCAATCACATTGGAACTATTTGCGCTCAGTGAACGATTGTAGTACCAGACTGCCCCGACCTGACAGTCCCGATCACGTTTACAGCACTCTTGGAATCATTTCATCCTTGTTATTTCAAATGTTAAACAAGGACAAATGATGCTCACGAGCATCTGTGAGTGTGACTCAGATTGCACAGCCCTAACGCATCCGTTGTTATTTCAACTAGACGAAATAAAATATTTGTGTCCTACAAACTGGAACAGGTAGATACTTGTACGTTGCCCTTCCTCCCTCCCCCCTCCCGTTCTCAACTAAGTCAGTCAAAGAGATTTTCCAGCAAAAAATCAGACACAGGACTCTTTATCTCTCATTGAACATCGAAAAGAATGAATAAAGACAGAATGATTCCTGTGCCGAATTGTTCTTGGAAAGCTTTTATTGAAATTGGAAGCATTTTCAGTTAGAGTAAACTTAGTTATCTTGAGCCAAGCAATGCCTTAGCCCTGTGCTAAGGAAGATAAAAACAAAACTATTCTATTAACGATATATTCTCAAACTTGGCAGTATAATTATAATTAGAAGCTAGAGACACAGGATCGATCTAGAATATTCACTGAACTCAATGTAGTTCATTCACGCCCTGCGTGACGACGCACGTGCGCGTAAAATTAACGAAAAAAAAAAAAATTTGTACATACGTGTGGCGTTGCCGATATCACATCCGGAGGAATCGGTGGTATATTCGTTGATTGTGGCGGCTGTTTCGCTAACAACGACGCCAACATCTTATTCTTCTCCCATAGCTTACTCGTTGCATTCGAGGAGCTTGTCCCCGAAGAAGACACCTGCGAGCCGTCCACAGGCCGCTTGACAGCTACGTTCAAATCACCATCTTCTCCCGGTCTCTTCTGGCCTACCTGCGTCGCGTTCCCGAGGCTGGCATGATCACTCGATTGCGACGGAGACGGAGACGTAGTGTTGAATCCAAGACTCCGCAGAAGGGGGTCGTTTTCTCGATTGTGCTGCAGAAAGAAAAATTGCGTTGAGTTCACGCGCTGTTCCACGTGCCTTCCGTCCCCCTACTTTTCTCCGCTTTCCCACTTCCCCACTTTTTTAACCAATCGATTTTTTGATTCTTTTCAGGTGACGAATCAGCAAATGTCTTGAAAATCGGCTCCAGCGAGCTGGAGGAATTTTAAGAAGACACTTATATAATACCTACTCTCTCGCAACAATCGACCCTCTCCCCCACGTTGCTAAGAAAGATTCTCGCCAGTATAGAGTTCACTAGATTCAAGAAAATTCTACACACTCATTTATCATTCCATTTTGCCATAGAATGCTAAAGGGTAATTAACAGTTACATATTTAGTTAGTCAAAATTCTCCTTATCAATTTTGATCTTGTCACAGTATCATTTTGTATTTTTATCTCATTTTCACGGAAATTATCAAAAAGTTGTCGTAGTGAGCTGGAGGGATTTTAAGGCGGCACTTATGCGATACTCTTGCAACAATTGACCCCCCACGTTGTTAAGAAAGATTTTCGCCAGTATAGAGTTCACTAAATTCAAGAAAATTCTAAAAAATAAAAAAAATTTAAAAATTCTCTGCTTATGGCAATATGATACACTTTGTTAATATCAAAATTTGACCTAAATTATATTCAAAATTATATTCCATTAATAATCGTTATTATATTAATATTAAAAGCATTTATTTTGAAAAAACGAGAGATTTCCAAAAAGAAAAAAGTAAGATTTCCAAAGAGAAACAAAATAAAGGGAAAAAGAATTTTAAAAAAACAACACTTTATCAATTAAAAGATTCATATTGTGATTTGCATTATCATATTTGATTCATGTAACGAGCTATGCCTCCAAGATAAATTCTTTATCTTATAAAAAGTCTTTATCTTATCGTTCATACATTGACAATATTATTCATTTTATTCCTTATATTTTACTTCTTTTACTAAAAATCTAATATAATATATTTTTATTTCTAAGTGCAATATATGAAACATACCTGTTGTTCCTGCAACTTTTTCTCTTCGTCATCTTTCATCAGCTGTTGCAGAAGTTCATTTCTTTTCTTTGCCCCGGCACGTGTCTCTTCGTCCTCGTCGTCATTTTTCTCGTTTAATAACTTAAAATGCAAAAAAAAGTTATGAGAATTAAAGAAAAGGACACCCGTTACATATACAATTCGTAGAAAAAATGCAACAATTGTAAAATTCACCAAATTTAATAAATTTGATTCAAATTTCTGACTTCTCTCAATCAAATGATAAAATAAGTAGAAAACAATAGCCATTTAACTTCATATTAAATGCATACATATTAGTCTTACTGAAGGGGGAGACTGCAATTATGGAATTATAGAACAAAACTACTTCTTTCTTTATATTTGATCATTAATCAATTAATTCAATATATTTGAATCAATTTATTTTTTTATAATTACCTATTATATATTTTGACCAACGTTTTTTTTTTTTAAATAAACTAAATTTTAATTATTTAAAAAAAGTTAATTTTTTTTACTATTTTAATTGTTTGTAACTTGTGACAAAAAACGATAAATAAGATAATAATCAAATTTTTACCCAAGCGATGGAATCTTTTGTATGCATGTTTTCTTACAGCCTTTGAATGTGCTAAATTATCAAAGGCTAATCATTCACAAAAACATTAGTTTTTAATAAAACTAATATAATGGGAAAATATTGAAAATAATAAAGCAGCAAAGCTTCGTCAAAATCTAAATAAAAACTCAAGATTCGTAGCACTTTCTTATCTTTGTCTTGTCTTTTCTTCTCTATTATTTTCTATTTTACCTCTCTACTTTTACTTAGCAACATCCATTTAGACATCGTCTAATCTTATCCAATCTATCCCAAACACTATGACATTCTTAGCATAACTCAAGATCAACGACGTGATGGTTATTAGATCGTGTGTGTTTTTAAAAAGCGTTATAAATTATTATTCTATAGTTTATCATCATCATCATCATCATTATAATATTCTTCATATTAAAATAATTATTTAGATACCTCTGTGCTGATTTAGAAATCACTTTAAGTATCGGCATAAGAAAAATACTAAAATCAACTGCTCGATTTCCTATTCTACAGTTGCATGAATAACCAATGATAACTAAAAATTCAGAAGAATTTATCAATAAGAAAATATAAAAAATATTTCACAAATCAGGAGACACGGTAGTGGCTTGGTGTCAAGTGTTTAAATTAATAAAATTATATAAATGAAATATAAATAAAATTTTCTACGTGACGTGACTTATTTCGAAATTAAATAAGCGTAGAGGAGTGGAGTGGAATATGTGATAGAAGGAGAAAAGAATAATAAGAAATTGCTACCTATTCTTAAGTTTTTCTTCAGATTTCGACGAAACTATGTTACGTGATTTTAACATTCTCCCATATCAAAGATAACGTTTGCAAATGATTCAGCACAATAAAAACTAGAAAACATGCATAAAAAAGGTTCCATCGTTTAGGCACAATTTGATTATTTTATGTATCCTCCTTTTGTATAAAATCGAATGATCAAATCATAATCCATAATCTAAAAATTGTTAATACATTTTTTACTTATTCCTTGAGCATCTGTTTTTATCTATTAAGTCATAAGAAGACTACATTTCAAACTCTTTTCATTATTTAGACATATTTAAAGATGGCTTTTTTCATAATTCAAAATATATAGAAAGTATATTTATTTCTTTTTAAGTAAATATACCTTTTAGATATATTTTGAACTACAAAAAAAGTAATTTTCATTTTAAAAAAATTGGTACCAAATAGATTAATATTTTTGGTCATCCTTTTTTTATTCAACTTCCCCTTTAAGATATTAAAATTTCCAATAGTCAATTACAAATGATCGACCTACCTGTAATAACATGTTGTTTCCGAGCGACGATTTAGAGTGTTCCATGCTCGGCTTTGGCATGTTGCTAGGGCTCGTACGTACTTTATGCTCCGAATGATAATCGTCTTCGTCCTGCTGATTCAACAGGATCTTCAATATCCGATGCTTGTTCTGATTATCCGAATCGTTGTTCGTATTGTCCTGGCTATCCTCACTAGCGCCCTTCGTCAATAAGTTTCTGAGCCTAACGGACTCGGTGGACACAACACTGTTGTTCTGAGTCTCGACGGCGGTGACGGCAGTGTTGCTGGTCCTCGTAGTCGCGTTGTCTGTGGTACCACCGCCACCGCTGTTGCTAGTAGGACACCCGCTCTTGTTGCTCTCTTCTGTTCGTTTAACGATTGTCGTAGTGTTGTTACCGCCGACGCCAGCAACGCCGCTGCTGATACCGCTAACCCCGACGCCGCTGCCGCCGTTGGTGCTGACGTTACTGCTAGCAGCACTGCTCAACGTGGCCGTCTGCGTGGTCTCCTGAAGAGGACTGAAGGGGAACGAATTACTGAAGGTGGGAGCGATGCAGACCGGATTCGGGCTAAGTCTGTCTATAGGCATTAACGTCGAGCTAGAGAAGGTTCCCTGCGGACTCGGCGATGTCGGGGATGGCTGGGAAGGTGGTCGTGAGTTTGGTGGCCCGCTCGCTCTCGACTCCGGCCTATCCGTCCACCCGGCGCTACCATCCAAGTCCCACGTGGAACTCGGGTATGTGAATTCGAGCTCCAGGTCCATGTTTCCCGGAAAAAGGTTGCCGAACGAATTGCCGGCCGACGTGTTCAGCGTTAGGGGGTTGCACGAGTCACTATTACCGCCACCGCCACCACCGCCGCCGCCTCCGCCGCCGCTGCCGCTGGCACCCCCCGTGCTAAAGGCGATCGAGTTCGACGAGGTGGCGGCCGTTGCCGCCATACCGCGAGCACTGATACCACTCACTTGACCGTTCAGATGCGCGACGGACATCAGCGGGCCACCCACGTTATTGTTATTGTTACCGTTATTATTACTACTATTATTCACACAACGGTTGCTAGAGTGTCCTGAGCACACTTTGTTGTTGGAAAGCTGACCACCCTCGATAGACATTAAGTCATTGTCCCTATTGTGGACAAGAAAAACAAGGTAACACGTGAATTTGCCAGTTAGCTGCATCTCTTCAGCTTAAGACTAAGCGTAATTTATATAAATCGCACAATGTTACACATCAGCTTGATCATCTCTCTTCATTGGTATCAAAAGTGAATTATGATTGCGTTATCCTGTTACTTGAAGAGTAAGCTAAGAAGCAGAAACAGTATCTAAATCTTTAAAAAATTTCCAATATATCAATTCTTTCTGAAAGACTTATAGAATGAAAATGTCACACAATTACCATAAAATATATTTTTATTTATTTAAAAAAAAATGATTACTTTAGATCCGATATTTGCAATATTCTTATTCACGACTTAATTTGAATGATCAATCTAAAAGTTAATTATTCTAAATATTAAGTACAAATGGAAAACAAAAATGTTATCTGCTTCAGGTATGACATATGGTACTGAGTTTCTATTTCTATAAATCTCAATGCACCGACTTTCAGCGGTTGGCTAAACGGTCGACTGATAGAAAGAGGGAAACTCGGCAATCTCACAACATCAGACAAATAATAACATTTTTTTTGTTCTTGATTATGCACAGCATTTTCATGTCACATTTAATTAGTTTACTATAGAAACAATTGTATCTCAAAATCATTTATAACCAAGAAAGAAAGTAATTAAGCTGCTGTGAAATATTTAAATGATATGTATACTGAACTAACAATAACATGAATTAAGAAGCAAATGGCGTTGTAATTATATACACATTTCAAAGCATGATTCAGATATAAAAAAATTTAAAGCAAAAAACTTGGAAGTTAGATTTAACATGATTTACATTGGTAATTTCTTCATTGCGTTGAAGTTATGTCAATGTTTTATTCGTGCACAAATATAAGTATTTAGCGTAAGTGCGATTTGTCTTGTCCTAACAAGATTCCATTAAGTGCGAAATTATAATTCGTTATGAACATTTCATTGAACACAAATATTTTTAAATATAAAATATTACATTTTACATAATACATTATACATTAAATTATTTAAATATACTTCATCAAGACTTATAAATCTGTAAAATGCGTACAAAGAGATTAACTTAAATAATTTTCTTCAATATTAACGATAATAAAAAATAAGTGCGAGTGTTAAAAATAATTAATAATTTTTTTAAAATAAAATTTAACTTAAGGAAAAAACTTCGAAGTGAAGGAATAAAATATTACGAGAACAATACATAATACATAATTTAAATTATATAAATCCTAAATTTTACAAAAAAATTAATTTTTTTTAGTGTTGTGCAAATCCTTCAATGAAATATTCAAGACAGAAATTAACGGAAAGATCTCGAGTAACATTGTGATGAATTTCTTGAAGCATGAGTACAGTAACAAGCAAATGTTGTGTGCTTAAGCCCTCACCATATCCATACAAATATGTTACTGTCGCCGAAAGTAAATAAATCATGTGTAATATTACGTTGTTAAACCTGAGTAAAGTTAAAATGTGGTAGATGTGTCGTCGTCGGGTTCAGACATTAAAAGCAAACTGAAATACATATACACCTAAGGTTACGGTGAGTTGTTTAAGAGTGGCCAGATCTCCAACACCAATAAGAAACCGTATTAATTTGCATGCAAATGTTGTGCCCTTTGCAAACTCATTGCAAACCAAGTATGTATCATAATATTATGAAACGTAAAATAACTCCCTGATTTAATGGTCTAAAATTAATAAATTGGTGCAAATAAACGGCAGAACATGTGAGCTGTACATGTGAGCAACTATATCTTCTTTCTTTTCTAAAGCTTAACCGTATTAGAAGTCGAGATAACTAGCTGAAATACATTTATTTTAATTATTTTAACTATTGAGCAAAGGTACTTAAACAATTTTGTTACTAATTGTAAAGAATACACAATTTCTATGCAACTAAATACTAAAGAAACGTTTTAATCAAATTTCAAAATTAAAATTTAATTTTGATAAAAATTATATAATTTAATTTGATAAATGAAAATTATATAATTCTATTTATGGTTAAAAATTATTATTAATAGTCTATTTCTGTCTAGAAATGATCGTTCCATTTCTTACTTTAAATTAAATACAGTATTAAAAATATGTTACTTTTGTGCTAGAAGCGTTAGTGCTAGTACGATAAGACAATTAATAACTACTTATACGTATATGTTAAAGAAAAGTTATTAAAGTAACAACTAGATATAAAAGAACACAAGAATCCAAGAAAAATCAAGTAAAATTTTAAAAGGTGAATTTAAAGATTTAAAAATTGTGAATAAAATGAAATATTAAATCAATATAATTATTCTTACTTTAGATAAGTTTATCTTTGATAAGAAATTATATAAGAACTTATTAAATTTTTAAAACCAAGAAATAGATTGTCGTTCTATTCTGATTTATAAATTCTTTTTTCGCATAAATATGTGCTTCATTAAAATATTTCATAAAACATCATTTTTATGAAATACAATATGGTATAGTAAAATTATCTCGACTTTTATATACATTTCAATGTATATAATCATTTATCATTTAGAGTCCACCATTTAGAATCGAAAGTCACGAGATAAAGAATAATAATTACCATAATACTATTAAATAATATTACAGATAAGAACTGAGTAAACTTACGTTATGATGGAACTAGTTGCCATTATGAAGTCGCCGTCGTGCGTATTCATATTCGATTTAAAAACTTTTGACTTTGTTTGTATCTTAAGGAACTTATCAGGACTAACGTGCAGTCGGTACTGTTCGCTCGTATTTTCTCCGACTTGAAGCGTCTCGCTCAAATGCTTCATGAGCGTATTGAGATCTTGAGGGTGGCACAAATCCTTAATTGTTGTACCTATCAGCTCCTGCAATAAAAAATGTGTCTGTCAATGTTTCTCAAAAACTAGTTTTGAAATATTTTGAAAGGCACATTTAAAAATTTTGAATATTGAAAAAAATAACTTTGTCAAAATTAATTATTATATATTGTTACATATAATATTAAAAAAAGATATTGTCTTCCGACAAATATGCAGCATAATGAGAATTGTAACTACGCAAAAAAATGACACTTGTTAAAACCGTTAGAAAATATCGCTCAATGATCTTCATCAATCTTCCGGTGACTGAAATAAATAATAACAGCATACGCGAACAAATGTAGTTAATTTCCCATGAAAAATTTAACAATTTTTCTAATTTTATAATTATTAAATTTTTCATTGGAAATTAACCACATTTGTTCGCCTATGCTGTTATTAATTTATAAAGAATTTTCGGTTTAAATAGATCTTCCAATTATTTCAACTTATTCGAATAAAAGGAAAAGACAGGATGCTTTCGTAAGATATTTATGGTAATTTAGAAATTGCAATATCATCTTATGTTTCTTCTCTTAGAAAATATAATAATTTACTTCAAATTGTAAAGATTCGCATCTCACTCAAGCAGTTCTTCGTATTATTTTGATCATTTTCTACAACGTTCAATTATTATTAAATTTACGTATCGGAATGGGCAAACGTTTTGATAATCACGATATGCGACATGGTCCGCTATGCACCCTTACCTTGTTTATGTACTTGGCGTACTTTGGGGACAACCAACTGATGTCGACCTGAGTTATCTTCCCGGTGGGATCCAATTTGATGGTAAATTGCTCAACGGGAGCAACGAGTTCGTTCGACGATAATTTACTCACTACGCATATCACGCAACTAGTAGCTGATTCGGAGGATATATCACCGCTGTCTATTGGCTCATTCTTCTTGGGCAGAGGAACAGTCTTGATATTCATAGTCTCGTACTTCGCTACTCGTTGTTGCTTCTCTTCCATAGTCACTTCCCTATCTTCGGGAGGGTCCACCAAGAAGCGGCAATTAAATCGACGTTTCCCGTGCTCAGGATGTGGCTCGCTGGTCCAGCCTGGAATGAGCGAACTCAAGTGTTTTTTTAAGTTTTTTCAAATAGTATTTAATAATCGCAAATGAAAAATTTAATAATTTTTCTAATTATAATATGAATTTCTAAAGGACTGACATTTTCGATTTAAGCAGATCTTGCATTATTTTAATTCATTCCAATTAATGCCAAATAAATTTCAAAAGAAGCCAAATTTAAATTTAAAATATATAATTAATAATCTATCTCAAATAAGACCTTTCTAAAAAAAGCGATGTCAAAATTCGTTACAGAATATGTATCTGACAATGAGATTCAAAGGAAATCTTACAAAATATATTTCATCGCAATTATAATTTAGAGAGGAATTTCGAAGAACGTAGAAGTGAAAGTTGATTCAAATTATTTACAAATTTGGATATATATGAAATAAAAAGATGAAAGAAATCTAATCTATCAAAAAAAATGTCACCCCCTCCCCCTCGGGTTTGCGAAAACTATCCCCGAATCAAACACGAGCAAGAAATTGAAAAATAAATCGCAGACCCCAAGGAAGAGGGTCATTCGTGAATTGAGCGAGTAAATTACTCGCGACCCATCGATTACTCGCGCCTATCTACAATCTACCCCGCGAGTATCGCCACACCTTGGAAAAAAAGAGTGCGCCGCGCGTGTGAAACAATTAAGATACATACCTAGAGACGACATGGGTAACAAGCTAGGCATGAAGGTGTTGTGATCTCCATGATGAATAAAGTTATAAATATCCTTTCCGAGTACATCGTCCTTCGTGTAGCTTGTGTACTTCGTTATGCTATCCGAAACGTACACCACGCGGCCCTCTGGACTTAAGGCTAACATAAAACAATCTACCGCCTGCGAAGAAGAGAGATACGGCATTGTAACGATCTCGAAGTGATGCGCTCCGTAGTTTTTGAAAGGAGCGGTTGCTTCACGCAACTCCTTCGCAGCTTTCAACAAAATTCTCCTCTATTTAAATTGATAAATTCTAATTCTGACTTTGTAATTAATTTTTAATTTAATTATTTAACTTAAGACAAAAGATGCAATTTGCTTTTGTGATGGTCAATCTCGCGTGTTAATTCGGAATAATACGAACATCAAATACGGCAAGGTTGAGTTGTTCGTGGGACAATATGCTAGGATTCGACGAAGACACTTCTCCCTGTTGCACGGCATTACTATTATTGGAGCTCTCTTGTTGCCTAATGTGCCGAATCTGTAAGGAGAAAAAAAGAAAACAATTATCTCAACACATATTCTATATAAGTATGTTCTGATCGTCATATCATTCAAATAATAATTACGTCAAATAGCAATATTAAAATAATATAGCGAGCAGAATTTAATATAAAATATTTAATTGCACAGATTTATATTTAATATTAAACAAAATTATTTACCAATTAAATTAATAATATTATAATGTGTATGCAAGTATAATGTAAATATACAAAATGCATCAGGAACCACGGAATTACATTCGTCGGTGCTGATTTCTTCAAATTTACTTTGTAATATCTTTTACCTCGTTTATAAAAAATTGTACAATAGAAGATAATGAGATATGTTATCAATTAATAATAACGTTGAAATTATTTGGGAAAATATGAGTAACATATGAGGTAACGTACGTAAATTCTTTGGATACTATCAATTTTTCGAGACGTATGTATATATCGTAAAAATATAATATCTCACGTAATTATTACAGTAATAAATAAATTGATATTCTTAATATTCGCTTCTCTCTCTCTCTCTCTCTCTCTCTCTCTCTCTCTCTCTCTCTCTCTCTCAAATTTCGATGTTTTTTTTATAAATTTGCATCAATTTATAAAATATAATTTACCTTAATAGCGTAGAACGCAAAGTAATTCTACAGAATTTTTATAATTTTAGCATCGAGGTGAGCTGTCATATGTGTCACCGAGTGAAACACGTGCGTCTTATGAAAACGCAGACTACCTGCGACTTTGAGACAAAACGGAGCATCAAAAGCAACCGAGAGCGAATTGTTGATACGCATCGTTCGCAAAGGATATAAAGTACAGCTGCATTTTGTCTTCGTGAGACGATCGCGCGAGAGATATCGGTGAAACAGGAGACGGTATATCGCGTCAGATATGAGAATATCGAATAATCCACCACTCGGCTGAATAGGAATTTATTGTCATGCATTTGTTTTTTTTTCTCTCTTTTTTTGCATGTAACACTTACGACGGTGCAGATTCGTCGCGCTGGTTACGGCACGAAGATTCTTAGCGGTTTCACGAAGTGATGCGCAAGCAGTTGCAGTTGGCACAAAAACACGCGATACATCAATAAAGAAGCAACAAAGGAAACGTCGAGTTACGCATAACAGCGCGACGTAATTATAAGGAGCAGCGAAAAATACGACTGACAAAGAATGCTGCAGAGATAAACAATTTAGACTGACAAATGCAATAAACAACAATATACATATATAAATTTATGTTTACAGTTCCAAAACCCGATCCGCCTCGATATCCTTTGGAGGATAAAGAATCCAGTTGCTTCATGCAATCCCCTTGTAGCTATATATTTCAAAAAAATGTTCCTCTATTTAAATTAATAAATTCTGATTTTGTAATTAATTTTTAATTTAATTATTTAACTTTTAATCTTGATTTTTCTCGAATTTGCTGCTGTGAATAAGGCTACCTAAAGAAAAAGAAGTATAAAACAAAATCGCAAATTATTTCTCAACTGAAAAATAACATGTGATTGCAAATACAAAAATTAAATTAAAACCAAAATTTATTAAACAAAGGAATAAAGTTTTTATAAAAGACTCGGAGAAGTAGAGATCAGATATGCTGCTGTATTTACGAAAGAATTTGGGAAATATTACTTAAGTACAAGAACCAAATCACAATTAAAACTCATTAAATAATGTAATGAAAACTTTTTATAAAATACTACGAAGATCGCTGTTAGATGCGAAGCGTTTATAGCATGTTACTTTTAAAACTAAACTCGTTATAAATAAACGCAGGTAATATAAAAAGTGAATCTTGTATTTTATTTATTTACTTCAGATCTCGTTCTTCTTTTATAACAAGTCCGAGAAAATAGAGCGCTCTCACTACCAAGGGGGAGGGGGGGATCTCATTTCAAATTGACCGGGAAATTTGTGACGTAACAAGAAATTCAGGACGCCTCTCTATCTCTCTTTCTCCTACATAAATTTTAGATATCGGGGTTTAAAAATGTTCGTGCAATTGCGCTGAAAAGGAGTGACTAGGATCTCAATTCGGGTCATCCATGTGTATTCCCGTTTTCGTCGAAGAGAAGAAACGCCGCCGCTTCTCGGTATTATGCCGGGCCGAAAATTTACTTTACTGAACGAAGGGCCGAGAGCTTGGCTGTATGTACGCCGGGAGGAACGATCGAAAGTACGCGTACGCGTGTGCGTGCGTGCGTGCGTGCGTGCGCCGCTTAGTTTTTGTGCTGTATGCACAGTCCATTAGCCGCGTCGCGCGCTCGCGCGCGTCTGTTATTCGTCATTGCGTCATACCGCTAACGAAACAACGACACCGCTTCGCAGGGAGGGACTTAGGAAGCCGGTCCGTGGCCCCGAAGAAAGTCGCCCGTCAAAATGTAACGCGCGGGCGAAAGCCGCGCGTTAACTCGAAAACTCGTCGAACGTCGCCGAGCTTCGAAGACGCGCTCTGTCATCCGGTATACATTATGTACACGCGGCACAGTGGACGATATTTTTGTTTCGATCGAGAATTTCGCGGCGAATAAGAAAATCTTTTGCCTGCACGAGGCGCTACGAGTCGAGCGAAAGTGAAATCAATCGCTAAATCGAGATCCTTATCGTGCGGTGAATTTATAAAGATGTATTATTTTCTCTTTCCTTATTTTTTTTTTTTTTTTTTTCCTTTAAAAGTGTACTGCTTCGCGAACGGCGAGGGGAAAAAAAGTCGAGCTCTAATGTATGCCGGTTACGCAGCATCAAATTGTCGTTTATGAGTGATGTAATTACATCACGCAATGCAATCGCCGTGAGTTGAAGAGTCGAGACACTTTCTCCTCCGTCAAAGAGATCGCGTTCCGCGCGGGGAAAAGAATGGGAGACCGATTTCCAAGCGCGTTTTAAGGATTTTATCACTCCCGCGTTTGCCGCCCATCAGCCGCGCGCAGCTTCATTATCATTCCCGGCGCGCAATTTGAAGAAACGGCATAAAAGCGCAAGTAGAGCGCACCAGACTGTGTACCGGGTGTCGCGAAAAGAAGCCGGACATGCCCGATCCTTTAAATTTTCGAGAGAGAACTGGAGTTGAAAATTCGGAATTGTAAAGTGGGACAATATCGACTTTCGTCTCCTGCATTTATCTAACTCAAATGTAGGACACAAATACGAATCCTTGCACGTAGGGAAGTAATGCAATCAACGTGAAGCGATAGTTTTCCCGTGTCGACATCGTCCGACCTGGAAAAAAAAGTCGATCCGACCCAATTCATAATTCACAAAAGGAGCGCTTCGGATTTGGGGGGTGGGGGGGGGGGGGAAGGGTGCGCGATGTCGCGAATTACTATTTCAGACGATCCCAATACGGCGTCGACGTATCCATCCGTCCGACACTCGCGCGGACGGGAATTTCTGCGTTACCGGCCGGAATTCACGGTCGCCCCGCGCGGCGCGGGGCCCTCTCCCTCGCACTCGCGTGCGCGCGCGCGCGCGCGAGCGCGGAAAAGGCGCGTCCTTGAGCTCGTATCTCGCGGCGCCGATAGATCGCGCGGCCCGTAATCGGCGCGGCGCGATCTGCGAGAGTGTTGCGGCGCGCGGCACACACGCGCTCGCTCGTTGCGCGCGCCCGCCGTGGCCTCGAAAAGTCGGTGACTCCGGGCCGCCGTCGTCGTCGTCGTCGTCGTCGGCTGGTCGGCGGCGCGCGGCCGAGTCCGACAAACGGGCGCGCGTGTGTATTGTACGTGCGCCTGTATATATGCGACGTTGCCGCTAGTCCGCGCGCGCGTTCCCCGCTGGAAGCGGCGGACGTGTGTGTACGAGTGGGCCACGCATACATGAACGCACGTGGCTGAGGCTCATACATGCACGTACCGTGCATGCATTTCTCTCGTCGCGTCCCGTCGCGTCACACATGTCGCGCCCGCGATAAATTCTTCTTCGGCTTTTCTCGCCGCACGCGCGCGCGCGCGTTTCCACGACCGACCGGGTTCGCGAGAAAGGGATACGAGATAACAACAGTAGCTGCAAAAGAGAGGGAGGGGGAGGGGGGGGAGAGAGGCAAACGAGAAAATGACAATTATGCCGACACGAGAGAGAAAAGAGGTAAAATCGAAAAGGGAACTGATTAAAATATAACGTTGATGCTCTTGAGAGTCTCGGCGCTTCGCCCGGGGGGCGCAAGATATATCGAACCGTTCCTGGGCGATTCCTCCACTTCGCGACGACAGCACGCCGTCGCGAAACGGACGGACGGACGCGGACGAGCGGAATCTCCGGGGAACCCGACAAACAAACCGACGCGATATTCAGGGAGGGAGACGCCGAGATAAAGCAGGTCGAGAGAGGTGCGACATTTATGTATCTCCTCCCGCTAGAAATTTTTCAATCGACTCTACCTCGATCGCATCGCCGCGGCCGTTGCGCATAACACCATCGCGCAGATGACGTCACAGGACGAACTCTCGCTCACATTTTCTCTCTCTCTCTCTTTCTCTTTTCCTTTCTCTTATTCTTCTTCTTTCTTTCTCTTTCTCTCCCTGTTTTGCTCAGGTTCAGGTAGACCGAGTTATAGCGGCGCCGTTTGAAAGAAGGTTTCCTATTGGCCTCGGTGACGTCACTTCAAGGTCACAAACTCTCGCGGATCAGACGAGAACAACGAGAAACTTAATTGTCATCTTTTCCGCATGACTTTTCGATTCACGCGGCTCAATATTCACAGATCGCTGCATTGTGACAAAGTGTCTTTATCTTTCTTTTTTCATCTCTTCTCTATTCGATCAATAATAATAATAATAATAATAATAGAGAGAGAGAGAGAGAGAGAGAGAGAGAGAGAGAGAGAGAATACAGTACTATAATCGATTGGTATAAAGAAAACACTCAGTTTTTAAAAAAATATATAGTTCTATATTAGAAATTGTATTTTTTTTTTTTTAACATAATGTGGTTTCTATATATCGCAAATTGCATATTTTTTCTTAAAGCAACTGAGCATTTTCTTTATATTCGATTCATCTCATTATTTTGAACATAAAAATATTAAGATACAATTATCAATACGTTTTTACGAAATTTTTGCGAAATATTTCACATTTTATCGAAATATGACATGATAAGTATATATCTCTGAAACTGTTGAATTTCCAATATAGATTTACCTCAATACTTTTATATGAGAAATAATTAAAGAAATCACACTATCCAAAAAAATTACATTATTCCATACAAAAAAAATGGCGATACCCTTTATATGATCTAGAAAATTGATTTTTTCGAAAATATTTTTATCATTATTTGTCCCCTTTCAAACTGTACAACTGACCGCGCAATAATTAAAAAAAAAATTAATTAACAGTTAATATTATATATATTTAGATGTTTCGACACAAACGTTTTGGTCATCTTCAGTATTATATAAGTAGAGTCGGAGTGGTGATCGTTCAATTATATTCATATCGCATTATTCAGTGAAATAGCACCGTAATAAAAAGGTTGGACGAGGTCTGCAGATAACGTGCCTCCTTAATTCAATAAATTAAGATATTATTCCAGCTGCTAGTTAGATTTAAAAAAACGAAAGTACCAAAAACTCATCCAAGAATTGCAATAGTCATAATGAATACATGTTCTTTATAAAGTCTGATCACAATGTAAAATCCATAGACTTATAAGATATACTGCGCGCTCCCATTAAAAATTGTCGGGAGAACACCAGGAGGGAGAGGGCAATAAGAGCTCTTTCGCCCTTTCCTTGTTCAATTGTGCAGTTGATGGGGAGAAGGAAAGAGGGTAAGAAGCAGGAAAGGAACAAGGAAAGGGCGAAACTCCAATTGCCCACTCTCTCCTGGTGTTCTCCCGACAATTTCAATGGGGTCATCAGTCTATCTTTTAAGTCTATAATAAAATCGCAAAATTAATTATATAAAAGAATTAGTGATCCATAAATATTCCAGAGTTAAACTTTAAACGTTGGGACAACTTCGTAGGTCCCGTCAAACCAGAAAGTCATCGAAAGTAGTCTATATGTTTATGTATCATTAATAATCGAGCAATATAAGCATGATCTAAAAATTCTATGTTTGTCATTTAATGTCTGTTCTGCCTGTTTTTTGTTTTTAAATATATAGCATTTCGCTGATTGGTTATTTATTATAATTTCTCTCCACATCCAGAATTTTAATATTGTGCCAGAGTTTATGATCACATTGTACCTATGTTCCGTTATCATTGATTATCTGTATTTCTGTTTGTGTCATTACGGTCTTCCAATCTTCAACTTTCTGCTTGTTTCTCTTACATAGGTTGCACCACAATTCATGAAGATGACCATTTCATTCTGTATACTACAATGTTTTTGTAAAATCTCTCGATAGAGGAAATCTTTATGTACCCTGATCATTCCAATAAATTTATTGATACTGTAATACTATTCTTGCGTTAATATCTTTGGAAATATTTTTAAATCTCTCAGAAATATTGAACACATACGTCGGCTTTGTTTGAAATTATTGTTAGATAAATAAACAATAATTAAAAGGAATATTAGACTTAAATCAAATAAATTAAAGGAATTAAATTGCAAATTTAAGTCAACGCAAGATATACAATAAAAATATATATTATCACAATGATAACTAGCAGACGTTTCGATCCTTAATTTTGGGGCATCTTCAGTACAGAAAAAGTTTTATAAATATAAGTATAAAAAATAAATAACGATGTAGTGGTAAAAAAATGTCGTAAAAAAACTAATAGAATAAGGTAGCGCGTAGTCAGTAGCGGTCATCCTGTTTTGTCTGTCCAGTAATAAAAATGAATCTCTCATTAGGCATTTAGTGCCGGTTAAAATTTTTCTTCGTAGTGAGAAAAATTTTAACCGGCACTAAAATGCCTAATCTTATAAGAGATTCATTTTTATCATTAGATAAACTAAACAGGATAACTGCTACTGACTACATTACTTTACTTTACACTATTAATTTTAAGATATTTTTTTATACGACATATCGTTATTTATTTTTTATAATTATATTTACTAAATTTTTGTTTGTATTAAAAATGTAATCCCAAAATTAAGGGTACGAAGAAAAAGTTTTCCCAGTACCTTGTGTAAGGTTAAATTGACAATTTAATTCCTTCAAATAAATAAAGTTTCTAAATAAAATCGCAAGACTTATATCTAATCTGCTATTTTGAAACTTTAGAGAAAAATTAACAAATAAATTTACCTCCATTTTTTGATTATAAATAGTAACGTTTTTATAACACATTATGTATACGACCAGTAATAACCTATTCCAGTTTTAGATGCTACCACGTATTTCCACTTATTTCCCTTCCAATAGGCAATATGCCTTTGTTATTTCTATGTTTTTATTCCTGGCTTCCGGCTTCGCCGCTATGATGTAGATTTTCGGTAATTTTTTCTATTTTGCCACTGTTTTAAATATTACTGATTCGTCTATATATTTCTCCACGAAACTCCAGTCCATTTTACGTAAACACGTGGCGCATAACGTAAGCAGAAAAACGTGCGCGAGCAGTAAGACGTAAAGTAGTAAAGCTCAACAATTATAAAACAGATATACAAATACTAAAAAAATATAGAAAATTAGAGAGCAAAATTGGAAGAATGGAGGATATGAAATTTTTTACACCTAAAACTCCCATGGTAGAATTCCACACCCAAAATTTGGGATATTTAAACAAAATATTTTTATTAAACTTACCCGGAAATTATTGTGTATAACTTTACTTATTTGTGTATCTGTTTATATTATATATTAACTAGCAATATTATCTGGCCCTTGACCCTGTAGCTCTTCTTTTATTTTGTTCAAAATATTTTTATTTTTGACAACTTTTAAAAATTTTGAATGATTTAACAAAAAATAATATTTGACAGAGGAAATATATGAAAAGAAATTAAATATAGAATATATATATATATATATATATATATATATATATATATTTCAAGGATACAACAAAAAAATTTAAAATATTTGTTATTCGAAAAACCTGCCTCCCTCTTAAATGAGATACTTCACATCTAGAAAAGTCTCCGTCTCCGTCCCTGACAGAAAACGTAAGACGATTACGTTCTACCAATCACATTTTAGAAAACTGATTCATGGAAACTAGTTTCGATTTGTAAAATCGAGAGTGACTCAGGTCTAGAGTATCTATACTCTCGGTAGTTTGCCGTTGTCCTTTGAAAGGTGGTAATCTATTAAAAATCTGATATTGTTCTGAGCATATTTGAATCTTTAGTACAGAAAACAGACGCATTGCTCTTATGCCATGATCATCACGATTTCAGAATATAAAATCAAGATTTTGAATATATAAAAATTTATATACTAAAAAATATATATATATATATATCTCACAAATAAAAAGAAATTATTGTTGGAAATCGCTGCAAGTTTAGAAGTTATTGTTTAATAATTATATTTTATGTAGAATATTTAATGTTTATTTTTTTTAGACAATGAATAGTGAAGAAAATTTAACATATACAGCATTTATCCTTATGAGCATATTAATTCTGAGTAGATCCTTTCATTCGATAATATAATATTAACCAATAGCAGCCAATGTTAATATTAAAATATTGACAATATACTTGATATAAGACATCTTGATCAAGAAGATTTTTTTTCACCATTTATCTTACACAACTACTTAAAAACGATTAACGATGTAAGACAGTGAATAATAAGATATTGTCTACGATCTTTCGTTCACAAGGAACAAAAAAATGGCAGTATTATACATACCAGAAACTTGAAGGAATGAGTATTTTATTGATGTTGAATGTATCAGACTAGTCAGTATTTATCGAGCAATAGCAAGCATATAAACAAGATGTTATTACGGATTATCTTTTTAATTGCTAGTGCAGTCCGATGGCAAATTGATTACATTAATAAGGGTTTAAATAGAAATCAGAATCTGCATTGAGTAAAAAATTAACAATTACTCTTTATTTGTAATCGACAGTAGAATTTATCACAAAGTACAATTAAAATAATGTATGTGTACAAGGTGTTCTAGAAAAGTCATATGTCCTTTCACTGACAGATTCAGGGGAGCATTCTAACAATAAGATGAAAACTCTTATGCAAAAATTTGAAGTTATAATATTTTTCAAATTATAAACGATTTAAGTTAACCAATTACTAACGTCTGCAATTCGCCAGACACGGTACATTCGATTCTTTTTTCAAATATCAATACTAATATAACTAACTTCGTGATTAGCTAACCTAATGACTAATTAATTATTGATTAATTATTTATGTATGTATATCAATTTGTACTATTGTATCTATTTCCTTTTAACCTTTTCCCTATCTCATTAATTTTCGCAATCTACTTTCATACATTTTACACATAATGAAAATAATCAATAATCTGTTATAATGTTTACACAATTATACATTTATTATACAAAGCCTTTACTACTTTTTATAAGAAATATATGATAATTCAATCATCAATTAATTTTGATGACATACATATTATTTGTTAAAAGAATATAAACTGTAAAAAAAATTAGATATAAAAATTATAAATTTAAAGATATAAATTTTCTGAAACAAAATTACTGTACTAGTGACAATGATTGGTCAATTTTCAGATATAAGAGAATTGGAAATGTAAACCTGTAACCTCAAGGGGATCAATAAACTACTACTATTACTATTAATGTACTAGTGGTTTTTCCAGAAAAGAGACATAATCGCTTGTTTTATTTTTGTCTTTTCAAGTTCGGGTATTTTTTTTAATTCCGAAGCTACCATCAGACCAAAAATTGTATCATCGGGTGTTAATTGATCAAAAATTGAAGCAATTTGTTGAGACAGTTGATTAGTCATATGCTTCTCACTGTCATTTAAAGATAAAAACTCAAACATATTATTTAATAATGTATTAATACCATGAACTGTTTCTTTCATTTTGATTAAACGAGCAGATTTTTCATCAGTTGGTAATGCTCGTAGTATAGGAGACTGTGTAGAATCTCTTAAGCATACTGATTCTCTCGATGTAGAATCACTTGGTACTGAATTTCTGGATGCTGAATCTCTTGATGTTAAATCTTTTGAATTTGTTACTATTATTTCATTCATGTCAGAAAAATTGCGTGAAGAACACAAATGTGATGATGTGTGCAATTCTATTACATTTTCAGTTTGTTGTATATTATTATCCTGAATATTTGCAATTTGATGTGTATTACTTTCCTGAACATTTTCAGTTTGATGTGTAGTAGTTTCCTCAATATTTTCAGTTTGATGTATTATATTACTTTCCTCGATATTTTCAGTGTAATGTGTACAATTTTCTTGAATATTTTCAGTTTGTTGTGTATCACTTTCCTGTATCCATATTTAAATGATTAGAAATTAAATTTGGAACAAATGTTTTATATGATTGTATATCACAAAAAATTAGAAAGTATTATCAAGAGAGAGACATGAAAAATCCTCATTATTCATAAAATTAGTGTTTACCTTTGAATACTCGAATGAAACTGAGGAGAACAAATTCAGAAAAGAGTTAGTTGAACTAATACTTGCTTGATTCGATGAAGAAGCATTACTGGTAACTATGTTAAAATTAGAAGAACAAGTATTTGACGTATCAATTAATTGTCTTTTTACACGTGGATTAGAATTTAAATGATATGACCTACAGAATGATAATATTAATATTTAATATTATATATTTTATTATATATTATTATACTCATATTTTATATTAATCAAACTGACTTTCTTCGTTTAATATGATTTTCTAAAAACAACAGATTGTTATATAATGGGAATCCAGATCTGTGAGAGGCTTCACTACCACTTTGTGTTTCTGCCTCGCGTAGACGTTTCTCTTTTGTAAACCGATCACGTAACCGTACCCATCTATTTTGACAAGCTGTAACTACAATAAATACACACATATATACAATATACACATTATGTATAAACACATTAATATTGTTGTTCATATAAACAATTTCCAAACTTAGATCTTACCTGTCTGGCTCATTATTTCAGAAATTCCATGCCACGAATTTTCCTTTAATTGTGCGTCTTTAAATTCTTTTAAAGATTGGTCATATAAATGCGGTTGATTTTTTATTAACTCTATGAGAATTTCATCGGCGTTGTAAATCGGCCCTGTTTTATAACACTTTCCACTTTCCACTTGATGTTCATGTACTTGATCATTTTCATTTTCATTTTCATACATCTCAGTGTCATTACAATTATCATCATATGTCTCATTGCCATTAAAATTACCATTATATATCTCATTGTTGTTATCACTGTATAGCAAATCCATTTTATATCTTCATTTAATAGTCTATTTTTATCTAATCTTAGTAAGAGACTCACTCACGTGGTTGACAAAAAAGTACGAAAGAAGTATGAACTGTAAATAATGGGCCTTCTACCCGTTCTACAATACATCGTATAAGTCCCGAAACACGATAGGTGCAGTAAGCCTTAAGCCATATGAAATGGACCAATCGCAGTTGAATGTGAAGAAAATAATCGATTACGATTGGTCAATTTCTTATGGCTTAAAGCTTACTACATCTACTGTGTTTCGGGTCCATCTACAATGAAAGTAGTAAAGTCGTAAGCCGTATGAACTGATCAATCGGAAGTCGATTCTCCATATTTGACTGTGATTGGTCAATTTCTTGCAGCTTACGATTTATTACACGATATTCCTATTGTAAATTATCAAATAAAATATAAGTTGTAGTTTGGAAATTTTTTATATAAACAGGGTAATATTAATGTGTTTATATATGATGTGTGTGTATTTATTGTAGCTTATCGAGATAGCTAGATACGTTTACATGATCGGTTTACAAAAGAGAAACGACTACGCGAGGCAGAAACACGAAGTGGCAATGGAGCCTTTCACAGATCTGGATCAGTTCTTAAAGCCCATCGCACATGAAATACCCAATACAACATAAAAACATCGCATAAGACCGCTGGACCAATGAACATCCGACGTAAAATCGCTGTCTTGATTTACATAAGATTTTCATTGATTCAACAGCCTTATGCTTATGCTCTATATATACTCTATGCATTTATCTACAATAAATATACTAAGCTGTGTAAGCCATAAGAAATTGACCAATCATTATTCTCCTCACATTTAATTGTGATTGATCAATTTCTTGCAACTTACAGCTTGCTACACCTGTTGCAGATAAATCTTTAGGCCCATTTTACAATACGTATGTCGAGCCGTAACAATTGACCAATGTCAATCGAGTATTCTCCTCGAGTATTCGACTCTGATTGGTCAATTCTTATGACTTACACCGTATCTTTCTCCTACAGGGACAAAAATCCTGTAGGACAAAAGAGAGTGTCTTTACTGCTGAGTCACCATAGAACAAAAATTCTAAGACTCAAAACCCAAGACCTAAAACCCATTCAGAATATACCTGCTAAATACGACTATATAAGCTATATTACCAACGAGTCAACGGCTCAGTCTTAGCAGCCGTTATGCAACTGCCGCTTCGTCTGTTTAGGCAATAAATGAACGCGAGAGCACGGTTTAACAAAGGGGCTTGGGACCTGTAATTATTGTTAGCGAATTAATCGCGTATCGGCTTAGAAAGAAATACACCCGTGATTGCGTCTTCGACCTTTCGAGCGAAATAAACGGCGCGATTATTAGAGATAATAACAGGCTGGAAATCAAACCAAATTTCCGCCAAGATAAAATTGGACCCGAAAAACGGCCCGACGTTATGCAAACGTGAATTAACTCTCGTCAAGGGAGCGCTTGACTCGAGTGAATTAGATTTGAAATGCAAAATTCCATCCCATAGATCCAGCTACGCGAGTATCACTTTTTAAAATTCCTTTTTCTTAATTCCATTTGCTTTAACACCCGATTAACTCGCTCGATTAATTCAGTCAGATTAATAATCCCGAATGGAAAAAGCACGATACATGTGTGTGTATATTGTATATTATGGAATATACATAATTAGATTTATAATAGATATTAATTTTCACCGCACATTATGCAAATAGTTCTGTTGACATTATTCGCAGATAATTCGATGTCTTAGTTATTTCAAACAATAATACGAGATTTTAGGACACAACTCAATAAATTCCATCAAATCTGTGGATAAAAAATATACACGCGCGCGTATATATAGGGTGTTTCATCTTTTCTTAATGGATGTGTATAGTAGTTAGAAGTTTAGAACAAAATTTTCATTATCAAAATCTATCCAAAATATGATAGCCTATTATGATGACATTTCGATTTTTCGGAAATAGAGTAGACTGAAATTTTAAATAGGTCGAGTAAGTAAGTATCGTGAATAAGTCTTTTAAAAAACAAACAACTTCTACTTAAACTTTTTTTTATATTATTCACGATTTACGAAAAAAAAATAGAGAATGTAATAAATTATGAGTTATCCATTTACATAAAAATTAAAAGTTATCAGAAGTTAAAATTAAAATTTTTAAGATCAAATTTTCTATGTAATAAAATCGGATGATATTTGATTTAAGGCGACTAAATGATTAGCCATTCGTGTCCATTCCGATTCTAACGTTGCTAGGAAAACATATTTCTAGGCGTAGCATCCTTATTATTGTGCATCTTTTTTACCTACGGATATAAAGAATCTGTAAGGGATCTATAAGGGACAAATTTCGGAACAGTTCAATATTACGAATAGCATCGATATTTTGATGAATATCAATGTGAGATCCGACTGCGTAGATTTTTTTCATGGATACAAAAGACTATTCCGTCCAAACGTTAATTTTTTCGAATGAAAAACATTTTAATGATTTCCGAAATCGCAACTGGGCAACATTTGAAGCAATTATTTTTATATTCGTTGTCGATTCGATCGACGATTTGTGGTATTTGTAAAATATCTCTTATTCTCTAAATTTCTTGGAATAAAATTCTAATAAAAAAATAGAGTGATTATTAAATCACTCAAGCTTAAGACGACTGTGTCGTGGAGTAAACATTTTTACTCGTAATTAAAGAAAATCTAATATGCTCTACATCACTGTGCACGTGCCAAGTAAGAAGTTCGGTAAGCGAGTAGTCGTTAATGATCGTTGTGTTAACATTGATATTTATTGAATCGACATTACATAAAAAAGACCGACCAACGCTTCATCCAGAAGTACCACGCTAACAAAAATCTACATATACTGAGTTTAATTTTTTTTATTAGAGTTAGTTTCCTCCAGTTAGAATCGTTTCGATGGTTGCGTTCCGATATTCACTGCCAGTACCGAAAATCTATAATATACGTTACGTGCACTACAGATTTTCAGCACTGGCAGTGAATGTTGGAACGCAGCCTATGTCTTCTATCCTGCCATAGATACCTATCTCTAGCACAAATATGGAGTAAGTATTATTTTAGGTTAAGACGCTAGGTTTACTCCAAACAAATAAAACATTTACTATGATTGGAGTTAAAAATTTACACTTATAAAAAATAAAATATTAGTGCATTCCAAATAGCAGTATTTTCACTCTTGATTGGAATAAATTTTTATACATTTTAAGTGACAGGTACTCTCAAAAATTTAATAAGTACAACATATTTATTATAATCAAAAAAGTTCATAATTATGTTTTTCCTTTTTTTTCTTTTAGTAGTATCATATACTTTCATTTTCTGGTTATTTTTAATTTTTCAATTTCTTGCATATTGATAATACGAATATTTCTTGAATTGATATTTAGGTATCTTGGCTGACGATACTGCAGAGCTATATTGTGTTTTCTCGGATGCTGGTTTACTATTGTCTTCCGAGAAGAACATATTTCTGGATTCAGTTTTCGGCACATTTCTCTGCACGACAATCATAATATATCTAATCAGATATAAAATGTATAGAGAAGAATTGCCAAAAAATCATGTTACGATATTTTATACTTCTCATTTGGTATTTCGGACGGTTAAGGGGCAGATCGAGTTACCCATAAGAAAAAAAATGCAAGCGACGGAAGAAAGAGACTACCTGAAATCCATGGGGTTGACCGAATTTACCGAGTTTCTTCAAGATTTTTCGTATATTATTACTCAAACACCTCGGTTGTCCCAAAAGATCTCGAGAACGAGACATCGAAATATCTGCGAACAATGTCAACAGAGCCATCTGCACAATATACAGTGCACAATATGGTGAAACTGCAATAATACATGCAAGTGCGTATTTGGTTTCTCAAACTCTTTGGTGGATTAATTCAAAGTTAATTTTTCCCTCAAGAAACCTGTCGAAACAGAAATGGCTTCTGAATTGGTGATAAACAGTTGCCCAGAAGTAACCTTCAGAAAATGAAAACTACTAGCGCTCTTATTTACTCTTCATTTGACTTCAATGAGACTTCACTTCGACAAAGTTTAATTTTGAAGTTTGATTAACAAGATACTAAATGGCATGAATTAAAAGATAATGAGAACAACATTCCATTAATTTGCTACGTGTAAAAGAAGATAGCACATAAATTAGCTCGATTTGAATCTCGTATTATTTGAACAAATGACAAAATAAGATCACGTGATAAACGCGTAATATTTATTTGATCTCGTAATACAAGGGAATTATTTTGAGAATTTAGAAAAATTTTGTGAATATGACGAACGTCTTGTGAATACAGTAACAGTAAAACTTCATTGGTTTTGGTTTCTCTTATAAAAAAAAATCACATTCAAAACGCAATTATCGAGTTATATTCCATTAAAAATTAAGCGATAAAATAACAGGAATGTGTACTAAAATTGTCGGCGTTTCCTCAGAAAACGTTTTTAATTTCTAAGCTATTTAACACTGAGAGATTGCGACATACTTTTGAAATAAACATTCATCTAAAATATATCGACATACAATGTCTTCAAAACTGGCAGTCATAATTTTTATAAAATAAAAAGCATAAATATAAAAGTTTAAAATCAATTTAATGTTATAAATTATTCTACATATACATATATTTAGAATGAAAAAAAGTAAAAGATCAAGATTTCGGAGGAAATCGTAAAACGTAAAGATGCAATAACTATGGATTTGGCTATAAAAACGTGGAGATTCACCATACTAAATATTTCGTAACGCAAAGAAAGGATCGGCTAGCAGAGTGTTGAAGTAGCGGAGCTCATTAAAAACGAGTTTTTTTAATGTTACGCGAAATTCTCATTAAGCTAACGACGATGTAATATCGCTTTCAAAAATACCGTCGTTCTTTCTTTCGTTTATATCGATATGGGAATATGTGTCATCCATAAAACAGGACGACCTTTATAAAAGAGCCGCTCGCTCTATACAAATCTCTCAATAATCCAAAGTGCTTTCCCAAATATTTTATCGTGCTTGCATGGATACATCCTCGTGATCCGAAAACAACGCCGATCAACATTTAATATTCGCCGATCGATTTTCCGATGAAAAACGATGACAGAAGATAAGATTCTCTGCGATCGTCTTCTATGAGTTATTTAACGTCGTCTATCTACCTGAATTATACAAAATGACCTCGTGCCTTTTCGACGGACGAGAAGATAAAACGCGTACGCGTAGGACAAATTACGAAAAACAATGGAAATATTGTTAATAAAAAAAAATTTTATTACAGATCTGCACGTAAGAGAAACTTCACGAAGTGTCCTTTGACGATCATAAAATCGCAATTTTGTTTTAACATCGAGCAGTTATTTTTAATTTTACGAACCGAGGGAACGATAAAAATGTATATAACTTCGCGAGTGAAACGTGAATGTTTTTAACTAGCATTCTCTATTACATTAATAATTTCAATTTAAATTTCAAATTGCTAATATGAGCCGTTGCGGCTGTAAGTGTAATGTATAAAATTAAACACAAACAGTACATTTAATAGCAAGAAGTTTTCGATCCTACTTTTGAATCCTCTTCAATATACAAAAACGCAGTAACGTTCGGAAGATTGGTCATGTGACAGAACACTGAACAGTGTCTCTCATTTTTTTTTTCAATCGTCTACGCATATACATATATAAGTTCTTGTCTAAACAAACGTTAATAATAAAATACAACTAAATTGTATGGAAGTTATGACAATATTAAAATGTCGAGTGTATAAAAATTGGTACTTACAAGAAGAGGTATGTCAAGCCAAGCGATAGAAAAACACAAACTAAAACGTTGTGATTACTATCGGTGCAGAATGTCAATATAATGATAAGCGGGAAAAGAAATCCCCAATATTATTTGACTCCCACTATCGTTCGAAACTCTGTGTGTGGAACTCAATAAGTCCCCACTTAACCCATGAGACTGACAATGAGACATTGGATTGAGAAGTTCAGTATCCCGTTATTTAAACTATTATGTTATTTTTTAATACATCTCATTTCCGTAAAATTAATCGTTTGTTGAGTTGTACCTCTTCGTCTAATACCTCCACATTGTCCCAATCAAAGTCGTGTGAAAATGTTTATACAAGAACTTATGTATATGTGAAAATTAAAAAAAGAAGAGAGAAAGAGCTATTGTTCACATGATCAATCTTCTGACCATTACTGCGTTTTTATACACTGAAAAGAATCCAACAGTAAAATCAAAAAATAGATATGTAAAATTTCACGCTATTAAATGTATTGTTCATAATACGTGTTTAATTTATATATTACACTTAAAACCGCGATGGCTCGTATTGGCAATTTTAAATTGGATTTAATTTTATCTCATTAAATTTATTTTATTTATATTAATAATTTAAACTCCTTTTAGCGTTTTATTAACTAATTACGTAAAAGGTAACTATAGAATTGTCATCGTTATAATTTTTGCAATGGTTTTGAAAAAGTATTAACTTTCATTAAAATTATCTAAGGAATTTCTATATAAATTAATATATGATACAAAATAATAATTTCTTATATATTATTCCATTGATGATAACTGCCGTAAAGTTCTACGGTATATCTACAGTTTTGAAATATCTATCTTATTTTGGACATTTGCTTAGGTGTTTAAATATCATAATCTATGTAATTCCAGGGCTCCTGATCTTATAATCTTGTCGCTCAAACTGATATGACATCTTATTTCCAAGAAGAAAAAGACATCTTTTTCAAGCGGAAAAAGACGATACTAACGATAAATATCGACGGTTTGCTCTCCAACGATACTGTTATCAATCATTCTCGTAAGAAAGGCGAGAGAAATCTGTCTTCTTACCTGTTCGACGGTTCTCTGAAGGATCTGGCATTTGTCGGTCTTGCCAGAGCTCATATCCGTGGCGGAAATCAGCTCGGCAAGCTCATCGATGTACAAGTTCTCTTGGGTCCGTCGTCTTTTTTCATTAAGGCACTTATTACTGCAAACAATCAAAACACAAAATTAAAACACTTCCAAATTTTGACAGATTATCTTATCAATACTAAAGAAGTAATTCTATTGTAATATATTTTCTAAAAATTGTAAGTGCTATTACATTGTAATGTAACTAACAATAAGATATACGTCTTGGTTAGTTATAATGTTAGTTCTTATCGTTAGTTAAATTGAACAATGTTTCAATACTAAAGCGATTAGTGATAAAAGAAAGTAGACATTAAGAGGTCATCACCCCTGAGGCCTTAAAATAATACCTAAATTTGAGATTTTTTTGTGGGTAAATAGATAATTTTATTTAAAAGCTGTTTAGAGGACATTGTTGTACATATGTCAGAAACAAAAAAAATATTTTTTTATTTTTTTATGTACAAAATGGTGACACAATGGCCTACTTGCAGAATCCATTTTTTCTATTTTTTCAAATCGGTGTACAGGATTTCAGGCACACGGTTTGCTCTTGAACAAAACACAAAGAATTTTTATTATCTACATATTAAAGACTAGAGACGTACATAGGGATTTTTTAAAATATTGATTTTTCTCGAAATAGCAGCTATTTTAACGAAAAATTCGTATTTTTGTCAATACAAGCCTTTCGTAAAATAGCTGCCACTTTGAAAAAAATCAATATTTTGAAAAATCCATACGTACGTTTCTAGTCTTTAATATATAGATAATGAAAATTTTTTATGTTTTATTCAAGGCCAAACCGTGTGCCTGGAATCCTGTACACCAATAGGAAAAAAGGGATTCCTCAAGTGTAGGCCAGTGCGCTGGCCATTTTTGACATAAGAAAAATAAAAATATATTTTTTTGGTTTCTTATATATGTACAACAATGTCCTCTAAGCAGATTTTAAATAAAGTTATCCATTTGCCCATAAAAAATCCCAAACTTAAGGTATCATTTTAAAATCTCAGAGGTGGTGAGACCTCTTAACTATCAAAGTCGGCCGAAAAGCATATTTCTTTCTAGCACTAATATAAAAAAAAAAAATATCATAAAATGATAAATGTTTTTCTACTAAGGGCCGGTTGTTCCACCTTCCGAAAAACTATATGACAATTTATTTAATGGATAAATGTCTGTACAGCCAACACTATCAGTCCAACATTCATTTATCTATTAGATAAATTGTAGTTTACCTGAAAATGAAATCGGTCCTAATATAAATAAACACATGCATATACAAATATACATTAAAGACATATTTTTTACAGTTAATTTATTTTAAAATAATGAGTTTGAACATGCTTGAATTTTGTTAGATATTACATAATATTATATAAATAAGTTGCAAAATGCAAAACCTAAAACAAAGAGTTTAAAATCGTATCTGAAATAGCAAGAATCATAACATACACTTATAACAAACTTTATTTTGTTCTTCGTGAATATAGGCAATGGAACTGAACTCTCAGTGCTGAACCGTGCAACTATATTCTATATATCTTTCAATCACACTATTTATTCTGTAAACCATATGATTACATCAAAAAGACAAGAATAACTTTTCGATTGAGGCAACTATATATGAAGGTATTCTAATCAAATACTGCAGTTTATTATAAAAATTACGATTGTGAGAACCTGATGGGCATATCCTAACAGATGTACATTCAATGTAATAAGAATATAATTTAAATTCACATACATTTCTTTTGCAAACGATTTTTTTCCATGTATATTACAGTTAAAATTGCATTTCGTTAAATGTTATTTAAATATAAATCTAATTCAAATGTTATTTAAATTAAAAATATTATGCTTTATTATATGTAATGAGCTTTATTAAATGTTTTCAAAACATTAAAATATTTATTTTCTAAAATATGACAATATAAAAAATCGAGTGTACTCGTTAGAATTTAAGATAATAGAATTTTTTATTCTTTTATATGTGTAAATATAAAAATGTTAAAAAGTTGTTGTCTAAAACATTTCTTCTCGAAAAATAAACAAAGAATAAAATGCCACGTTATATCTCTTTGTTATTATTTCGAAATGTAATTTACTCTTTTAAGATATATCTTTCTGTTAATAAATTTTCTTATAAAGTAAAAACTATTGTATTTATTAATTACAATAAAAGTAATAAATGTCAGAATGTATCGCTATTATTTCTGTGACTGCAGTTCCCTCGGTTTCGTCGAAAAATGTTCTCGTTCGTGATAAGAAAAGTATCAAGTTCTTCTATATAATCGACTCGTCAATTTGTTCTGACACAGTTTGCTATACCCGCGTTTTATACTTTCGCACAGTTTTAACAATAGATTCCACTGATTTCGAATTGACTCCACGAAAAAAACTTCGAGAATGCAATCGTTGCAATTTTTTAAATTCTGAACATATCCCGATATTTAAACTTCGAGTTAAATTCAGTAAAAATGTAACTCGAATATAATTCACTCTCAAAAAATTTGATTAATTAGCTCGCGTTTCACTCGAGAAAACAGCAATCCTGAATGGTCAAAGAATCCGTTATTAAAATTGCAGATCAGAAAATTCTATATACAGAGTGTTGCATATATACATATTAGGTATAGTATAATAAGTTGCGCGGCAGACTTGCAGGGGTAGGCACAGCTTAGTAAGTAATGAGTATTTAGTATTTATTTTAGTTTTTAGTACTTTTTTTTAATCTTTAGTATTACTGAGCCGCGTCTGCCTCTGCAAAAGGGCAAAGTTCTGCCGCGCAACCCGTCATACTGCCTAATATGCAACACCCTGTACACGGTGCGCCGCGTAACAAAATGCCACGGAGAATTAATAAATGAAAAAAAAATCCTGCAAAAGGATTTCGCAATGTTATAAAAAAAGAAAAATTTATTCTTTAAATGCTGAACCAATTCTTTTTGTCCCATTGAAACGTACAGTTGACCTTGCGTTGACGTCACGTCGGTCCAGCAGTGGCTCTCGGCCGCTTTGCTATAATGCCACTCTGCAATTTTAATACTGTCTTGCCAGTTGCTACGTACTCGCGACAAAACGAACAAAATCAGCCGTAGGATTTAAAATCAAGAGTGAAAGCGATATAACTTCAGCGAGATTACTTTTTCACGTTACGAACACGTTACAAAAAAACTTATTACGCTAATATTTTTGTTATCGATACCCTACAATTTAAAAAAATTTTTAGGAAATTTTAAAGAAACTCTTTGAGAAAAAAGCAAATTTTATTATAATAAATTTTGAAAATCAAGTATTAATTTTACACAGGTCGTTTTCTGCTATTTTCTTTGGATTGTTCGTGACAGTATATTATGTAGAAATGCGATTTTTCCTAAAATTGCTGCTTTTAATTTTTACTTGAAAACCAATTTCTATATTGAAACCAGATCTAAATGTATCAAACCTATTAACACTTTTGATACTTTTATATACCATAAAATTATTTTAAAAAATAAGTTTGAGATTTAAATATACTATTTTGTCCAAATGTTTCATTCGACGATTCTCTTTCTACTGATTAATTAATTTTTACAAATGTAAAACGATGCAAATAATTGCCATCAACATTTGATTATTGATTATTGATATTAACATAAAATTAAACTGTACGATAATTCGCGTTAATAATACTAATATAGAAATAATAGCTAAATTTCACGTATCACATGTAAACAAACACACAAATAAAGATGAAATTTATACAGGAGTTTAATAAAATTTCGTTCGTGCGCGACCAAACGTTATTTTGATATTAAAGCCCGTTTAATCAGTAGCAAATACTCAAAAACTCGCGTACGCGCACGTACACACTCGCCGCGTTTGTGTTTGTCATTAATGATTCGATCGAAACGATAAGCTCTTTAGCAAATTGGATGGCAACGGATTACGGTGTGTTACGCATCACCGAGCCTTTAAATCATTTTCAAACTTCAAAATCACACGCTCCATTTGATATTTTGGACACGCGGCCCTTAATAAAAATTCCACAAGAAATTAATCCAAGGTTAATTAAATCTAAAGGCTTAAATCTAAAGTTGTCACGTTTTATGCTTCGTCAAATTCATGTTTCAAGCCTGTCAAATTTATATTTCAAAGCAATTTTTTACTTTTCTCTTGCTCTTTTTTTTGCTTCTCCCATCCTCTCTACTGTTATATTATTTCGTAATATTGCTACAAAAACCATTAGCAGTACACTAGTTTACTGCTAAACTTTTGCTAAAAAATATTTCATTGAAATTAAACTAAATTAGATTTTCGTAATTTTTTCAACAATAAAAAATTTTGACAGTATTTCTCAAATAAACAACGATGAATGTTTGTAAATAAAAACTAAAAAATAAAATTAAATTCTGATATTCTTTTGAATCCTTTTTCCATTAACAGAAATTAAATTATTTACTTTTGAAATTAATTAAAGTAATTTATTATAAAGCTTAAATTTTCGTAATTATTACAACATTAAAATCACATATTACGTAACAAAATCATATTACGTAAATAAGATCACGAATTATATAATAAACGAATAATGCAAAAATATAACAAGGAAAGAACTTGACGCATATTTTTGTAATCCGCTTAATATGATCCAATTGTCTTTTTTTCTTTAGAATAGCATTTCTGAGAATTGAATTAAACGACGCTAATACAGAATTATTTTTATTCACTGATAGACGCATTTACCAAATACGCGGTATGAAATACCGCGGGTATTTATCACTCATTGTACCATCCAGATTACGGAATTCGAGCTTGTACCGCGAGAAGGAACAAAAAGCAGGAGATTGATACTCACATCTGCGACTGAGGCTTCGCATCGGATTTCTTTCTTTTCTTGGTAATGCCGCCAGTAATCGCACTCATTTTGACCCACAACGGGTCTTGCAATTCACACGGGCCAGGCCTGCAACAAAAGCGCAATCACAATTAGACAGAAGTGCATAAGACGCACGAAAAGTAATAAGTCCTTAAATGCACTACCAGATATATCGGTATAGATATCGATATGAGTATCACGTGAGTATCGTTAATATCAAAATAAAATTCTGGAAACGTTTCTGTCTTTATTCTTTATTTAAAATCACTGTAGCTTGAATTGTCACTGAAAATGCTCGCAAGAAAGTAACTTGAGAGTAAGTGAAAGGCTCGTTTCGAAGAAATTCAATAGATTCAAGAAATTGATACCGCCCTTTCGCGCACCGATAACGTCGCGACGTTGCAATAATCATTGTCAAAAAGGAGAGAAGAAAGAAAATATATATCGATGTTAAATATCACCGTACGCGCACCCTATTCTTTGCCAGAGATATCCCTCGGAAAATTTCATCTTGTCGCAAAGATGACTCGTCTTGGAATGATCAAGCTCGCGCTCAACTATAATTTGCTGCACGTGGACGAAAGCCGCGCGTGCGATTCTTCCACTTGCCCCGCGTCCTTCCCTTCCCTTCCGCCCGGCAATTCTCTTCCCTCACCCACTCTGTGCGTGTACGCACACTGTTTCTTCGCGTATAATACACGCACGTGTTTAATACGACCGCTGACATTTCTCCTATTTGTCATATTCTCGCGGCTCGTTTACCTCGAAATCAATGGAGGGCTCAAGACGTGGGGATACATAATCCTCGGCAAACTCGGAATCGATAATACTTGTGCGAAATGATCCTGCATTATTGAAAGGCGATCCGACACCCACGTCACTGTCGACAAAGCACACCGAAAAAATTTACTTGAATCTCTCGGCGATCGCAGATCGACACTTCGATTCACTCAACCGAGAGCGTGGCGGTTTCTACACGGAAAGAACGATTTTGCTGGATACAGATCTGAAAGTAATTCTTGTTGGACCGTCAAAATAATTTTGTTGGAAAGTTGAAAATGATAAGCATTTCTTAACTTTTCAACAAAAGTATTTTAATATTCTAGAAATCAGTTTGATTCTCCAACAAAATTATTTTGAATAAATTGAAGGATGACATTTTAAAATTATTTTTCATTGCCCAACAAAAATTATTTTCAGATCTGTACCCAGTAAAATCATTCTTTCCGTGTAAAAGTCTAAGCAAAACCCTTAGGAGATACATAAAATGTCAATTATTTCAATTTTTCGATTTTCGCAGACATAATTTAGCCCAATTGAGAGAGAGAAAGAGAGAGAGCTAATACTGTATTTCGTACAATAATATACGGTCCAAAACGAACGTAAAACAAGAGACTCTCGGAGAGAGATAGAGAAATAAAATAAATGGTTAAAGTCTCGCGGGACGTCTAAAAGCAGCGTCTTAATTCACTCGATATTAATTTGAAGCTTAATATCGAGCTTAACGGCACTTGAGGCGCGCGCCTTCTGAACCTACGCGTTACTCGCAAGCCCTCTTTCGCGCCCGGCTTCGCGCAATTATTCTCTCTTCCTTTATCGAAATTGGATTTACCGAGGCCGCTATAAATACGCGCGCGGGGCGCGCAAGAGAGCGACTCGAAATAATGCCTTGGACTACTCCCGGCGGCGTAATGCAGCGTGCGATTCCTTGAGATCGTCTTTTTTTTTCTCACCACTCGGCTACGACAACCGCCGGGCAGTTTATCATCGCGCGCGCAAGCGACGACGGCGCGGAGCCTCCCTTCGCCCTTTGTGCATGCCTTTTCGGTTCGTTTCCCCCGAATCAATAAAATTCCTTTATGGCGACACACGCCGGGGCAGCGTTATAATAAACCGGGGAATCGGCCGCTAACAAAGTGCCTAAAGATAATAGATAATCGCGCGCACAATAATGAGTACTGTACAGCAATGTAAAGGGTGTCCCGAAATTACCAGTCTTATCTAATCAACGCGGATCTCTTTATTCGTTAATTCGCACGTTTAGAGTTACGTTTCAAAATCTTATTTCGATTCCGTTCTCATCGAACGGATTTCGCATATTAGAAAATTGAATAATTTTTTTAGCGTTAAATGTTAGTTTAATTGTAATGAATAATTCTAAATGAATATACTATGAATATACTATAAATATACTAAATGAATACTATGCTAAATTTAATACGACTCTTTCGTTAACAAAAAATTTGAAAAGGTTATCATTCAGCGCAAGTTAATTTTCAATATTAAATACGCTGACAATGAAAATCTTATCTCAAATTTTTATGTCTTAAAAGGCACAGTTACACGTCAGAACATAATGATACATTGTTAACTATATTGTACGCGTTCTTTCAAAGCTCCTTAAAACTTTCGATATCGCATAGTTGGTTTGTCCGTTAACAAAAATTTCTCTCATTATTCTTATTATCTGTGCATAGAAATGTACGTACAGTCTAGAATATTTCGCATACCCAGCAAGCAAATCACTCAAGCTTATTGTATCTCGGTATCAAGACCTTGTCTGAGATGATAACTTATACGTGGCTTCACGCACAAAACTACTTGTTTACTCGCTTTATGTAATCGCGCGGTACGCAGGTTTTTTTTTACGACGCATAAAAAAAAATCGCAACTGTGCGGCTTTTGAAAATTACAAATTACGTGATCGACGAGCGAGATAATGGGACACGTTACGACGATTGGCTAGCGTTCGGCGGGCTGGATGCAGCGCTTTGATAAATGCGTTACGCCCGCGACTCTCTCGTGGTCGTTAATTTATCGGTATGCCGATAACGCAATTAACGAGTTGTAAAGTGCATGGGTTACTGCATCGTAAATTAGACGCGTTGCATCACTTTCCTGGTTAGCTCGCGCTCGCGCTCTTTCCTTTTTTTTTTATTTGACCACGTTTGAATCCCGCTAACAAAGAGACCATTCTTTCTAAATACACTTCGTACACTTTTTTTTCTTTTACCATCTCTTCCGTTCCTTTCTCTTTCTCTCTTTCTTTGAAGCGCGAATGTATGTACGTGTGTGTATGCTTGTTCACTTTGAGCGTGAAAGATAAAGATAAACGCATACAGCCATTATTATTATTATTATATAGGTCAAGTATATTTTTCAAGTGTATTTCTTTGCGCTCCACTTCTTTAATATGAATGCATTATGTTGTATTGTAACAGCCGCAGAATTATTTGTAGAATTTTAAATGAATCAGCTGCTCCATAAAAGTAATATAAACTGACAATTAAATTTCGTCAGAGATAAAGAAATTTGCTGATGTCAAAAAAGATTGAATTTTTCCTTTTTGCTCAAATGTGTAAACTGTGACGAATAATGTTTATACAATTTCAAAAATTCTAGAACATTAAGGATGTAAAAGATTAAATTTTTCCTTTAATATCATATGTTACTCTTTCAAGATGATTGTCGCCCGTCAACAAACTACAAGTACAAAAATGTCATATAAAATATTTAGATATTAAAAAATAACAAAGAGAATAATATTAAATTGTAACAAAGGATGAATATTAAAACACAAAGGATGAAGCAATGGAAAAAAAAACATATAATTCCTGGAGCAGCTTGCAGCACGAGTAGAATACAGAAGACGCGTAATTTTGTGCCGAGAATGCATATAAATATTGATGTTGAATTGCATTATCGGCGAAATACCCGCAAGAAGATTATTCTTCCGCAGCGCGATCGGTGATTGTTAAAAATTCGAAAGATCGACGGTAACTTATATCAGGCGATTCTTACGTCACTTTATAATCGGATTTCGAATTTCGGCAAGATGCGGCAAAAAATTGAACGGGGGTTATCGTAAAAGCACCGCGCATAAAATACTGCAATTTAAACCTCGTTAGCCCCGGTAAGCAACGACCGCAAGATACGAGAGGATCCATCTGTATGCGTTTAAGCAGCGCAAACCGCGTATGCGGATGTCATTTCAACGGATTTGGCATCGGAATTTTCCTTCAATTATGCAGATTGTTGTACTAACTTTTAATTGCTTCCTCGAAAACATTTCCTGCGAACTAACGACCAAAGAACACCTTTTGTAAAATCTTTAAAGTCGAAATACTAGTAAGAATTAATACATAGCGTTATTCAAAAGAATTATTATACTTAATCGTTAGTAATTTAAATAACAAGCACTATCCTTCCCATTATTAACTCGCAAAAACTTTTTAATTCTTTAAATTTATAAAGTTCATTTTAGCAATTTTTACGCCTAGATTCACAAAAGATAAATCGTTAAAAATTCTCGCAACAATTATTAGTAATTCGATCAATATCAACAAATAATAGACAAATAAAAATCCTGCAGTTAAAATTTACTTATTCGTAATTTAATGTAGTGCTAGTATTTAGTAGATTAATACGAGTACTACTCCCAGTTATCATTAAGGAATGAGTATATACACAGTTGAATCTTTCATCAGCTATTAAATTTTTCGGTAAACACTGAATTGTTCGTCAGTGTCGCAATATCGTAAATGGCTTAAATACTTTTGTAGTAATATTTTTACTTTGTTTCTTGTGTAAAAACGACTATATTGCATTTCACACTCGCGATGAAGAAGCACATGATGAATGACGAAAACGAGATAGCATTAATATATCTTGAGAGTATATAAACTTAAGATAACGTGTCCTAATTACCTCGACCCAGATTCATGAAAAACATTATTACGCCGACAGATCGCGAAAAAAGAAAAGACTAAATTAGATCGGCGGGAATGCGCCTTCGTGCGTGCCCGTATAACCGTTCTGTTCCGCGGAAACGAAAGTGCGTGACGAGCGTTGAAAAAAATGACCGCGAATTGATTAAGCGAGTCTTGTCATAAACGTCCGATTGCAGGCAACATCTCGTTAGCATAGCGGAAATAATTTCACTATCTTCAGAACACACGCCCGCGAGGCGAGTGTGTCGAGCTTCCACCGTGTCGAACAAACAGTCGTTCAACGGGTCGTGTTGCACGCCGTCTGAATTAACGAAGCGTCTATTAATGATCGATCAACATGATCGTGCGATAATTTATATACGCGAAAATAGCGCGTTTGAAACGGCATAACGCGTCACTCCTTTAATAACAATTTGATAAAGCTAGAAATATATATTCAGTGTCGAAAGATTAACGATCGCAAAGACATATCGCGTTTTAAATTAATGAAGCCGAATGCGAATATATCCGATTGAAAGTAAATTAACGTGGTTGTTGGCATTATATGACCGCCGGTGGATGTAACGTCAATATATATGCATTACTTTCAGCGGCGAAAATTTAATCAGCCGCGGAAATGCCTGGCATTTTTAGCCTAGGATCACGGGTTAATAACGGGGGTTTATATTATCGCCGGCTATCACTAGCCAATTTTATGCAAAGTCGCGCGCGGCTTCATCTGTCTGCCGATTTTTATCGGCTAAAAATATATGCTCATTGACTGCCAAACACGCGACGGTGTCGTTCGTCGAAACATGCAAAACAAAATGTGTATGGCCCCATCTATTTCGAGCGCGTCCATGTCGATAACCTTATTAAGGGAGGTAAAAGAGATTTAAAAATCCAAGAATCTCATTTGCGTTACAGCGATTGCCGGTAATAAGAACGCGCGAAGCATCAATATCAAAACAGGACGCAAAAAACGAGATCGTCAAAACAAGAAGCATTGCTTAATGAAAAAATGCCTAGCAATGGAATCACAAACAGGAAAATTCTGAAAAATATGTCTGCAACCTTCAATTATAGACAGATATATCTCCGTAATTATGATTTAAATAGAGATAATAAGAGCAAAAAGTGTATACTTTGTTCGAGAAAATTTTAATTTTGAAAATTTATGCGTTTTCAATTAAATTCGTGATTAACAAAAATTGCCCACATTTCTCTTGTCTCGTAAAGGCTCAGATGAGGCGCGTGTTTCGCGCAAAAAATATCCTTATTAAGAGGAATCAGCTGGTCGGTTCAGAAGCGTCTCGTTCGAGGGAAAACAGTCGCGTGTTGAACTGCAAACTTTTGCCGTGATAAACGCGTAATAACGCAACGTTCGGGACGGGCGGCGATTGATCGAAAGTTCGGCCTTGAACCGCCTTGATAGAATAATCGGACATTTTCGAAGGAGCCGGTTCCATATGCCGACGTCAACGCCACAAGTGCGTTTCGTGAAGCGAGGCCAAAAAAAAAATAAAAAAATTTAAAGAAAAAACAACGAAAGGCATCGATCGAGAAAATTGCTGACTAAACCGACACTCTTTAGCCGTACAAGTGGCTATCGTAAAAAACAACTGACGAGACGAAAAGTGCTAAGTGGATGGCAAATAATATCTGTTCAGGAGAACGATAAGAATGTATCGCGCGGAAAATAAGTATCGCGAGATAGAAAATGGACGCTGATTAATTGTAATACTGTTAAAAATGCGTACCTCGCACATTGTAGTAATTTTTCGCGAAAAATTGCGATGTATTATATTAAATATTAATTCAATGGAGGAAACTTTCACGGCGAATTAAACGCCGATAACATCTCGTTGCTCAACAAGAAAACGTCACGTAAGAATGAAAAACATAATTTTCTTTGATCTTACCATTCATATCTCGCTTCATGGTCTCTTTTGTAAGCTTAACTTTGAGTTATACTTATAAAAATATTGACACCTCCGCTTTATACACTTCACTCGTGCTTTGTAAGTTTAACTTGTATACTTACTGAGAAAATTATTGATACCTCTCAGTTTTATGTCGCACGCGAGATTGGCTTAAAGTGCCGACGTCGCGGCTTCTCGCGATTGAAAAATGTCATCACTTCGGAAAGCTTACCGCACATTCCGTTTCTCCATCATCGAAGATTTCTCTCTCTCTCTCTCTCTCTCTCTCTCCCCCTCGCGCGCTTTTATTTCACACGCAGACACCGACACCATCACCGACGACGACGTCACCGATCGCACGTTTCTTCGGCATCGAAGTCGGCGCAGCCCGATTCCACGGAACGTTCGGTTTCGATGACTCTTCGCTACGATGTTTTTCGACGATCGATCCCATAGCTGCTTCGGGGGATTCGTAATTTCCTGCACGAGGATCGTAATCTGAGCATGGAATCAACATTCGCCGACGCAAACTCCCCGAGCGAAGCTCATTCGACAAAATTCCTGTCAGCAATTCGATCGAGTAAAAACACTCCGTGTTGATACTTGTTGTTGAAGTCTTCGATCTATTTTCGCAATCAATTCCGCCACTTGAGAAAACCTCGTTTCAGTTCACTCGACACCTTGCCAATCGCGCGTGTATCCCGTAAAATACCATTCAGCATGTATCCCAACAAGTTCGTAGCCTATCACTCGTACGAAGTTCCGAGCTCTTCGTCTCATCAATTTTTAATTTTCCAATCTTCCCGTCTCTCCCAACAATTTTTAATCCTGCCGAACGGATCCACCGACGACATCTGGAAGATCCGTTCGAGAATCAAGATCACTCACGAAGCACTGCATTAAGTCAAGAATTCGAATCACTCGGGATTTTCAATCACGCGACGACCCAGATCGACTGAAGAAATCGCCCTCTCGAGTCGCCTTGAAAATCCGGATCACAGCCAAAGATCACATTATCGCGTTATCACCGTGTTATCTCACGAGCGTCCTTCTCCCAAGTCCATCTGCGATCATCTGAATTTCCTCACGGTATACCGCCTCTCCCTCTTTCTCCTTCTCTCTCGCTCATTTGCTCACTTCACCGGACCGTTCTGGCCGGGCGCTCTGTCGGCGACTCTTCTCCGCGAGAGGGAAAACGCGGCACGCGGGCGCCGCGCGTCTCGCTCGCGGTTAGCGCAAGTCGTCGCGAAATGCTCTCGTCGCTTCTGCCGACGTCACCACTTATCGCGTAGGAAAGCACCTTGCATCACGAGCGGCGTATATCCACGCAGCCGTCACCCAGTTGTCACGGGGCCACCTCCTTTCCCCTCGACCACCGGGGCTCCTGCCCCCTCCTCCTTGCGCTACGTCTAAGAGAGCCTCCACTCTTTCCGTTCCTCCCTCTTCTCGTTCGAGTTGCTCCGACGATAGACCACCCCTCCTCTCCTCTCTCACTCGCTCTATCACTCTCTCTCTCTCTCTCTCTCTCTCTCTCTCTCTCTCTCTCTCTCTCTCTCTCTCTCTCTCTCTCTCTCTCTCTCTCTCCTCGTCTTCTCCCTCCTCGTCTATGTTGACCGCTAAACGAGCAGCGGTGCACGTGTGTGGAGGACTGGGGTACGCTCGTATGTGTTGCGGCGCGGCGGGCCGTTACGCACACACGGACACACTGGAACGACGCGGCGGCTCGCAATCGGCACACGGTGGATGTGGCGAAATTTTTGCTTAACCTAGTTGGCGGCGGCAATTTTTCGAGCTTTACTCGTGTCGGACACGTCCGTGTCGCTTCTTCACTTAAATCTACAGATATCTTCACCTGTTGTTTCTTCACTTATGACGATCTTCGCTATGCTTCATTTGTAATCTTCCCGATCGTTTCCCCATTTTCCGCGGAAGAATGTGATATTTTCGCTTTATCGTACCTCGCACATCGCTCTATTTCCCTTTAAAATTACGAAGATTCAGAGGTTCATGACGCGATTTAATTGAGCACACTTTAGTCGAGCCGTATCATATCATGAATGGAATTCGCCCCGGCGCGGTGTTGGTCGAAGCCGAGAGAGCGCGCACGGAGAGACTGACGCGGATTCGGCACGCGCGTGCCGAAGACACCGGATAGACACACCGCGAGGCACGGAGACACGCATCATAGCCGGGGAGTCGCGCGCCGCGTTGCGTCGGCGCTTTTTCGCGACGCGCCGTCGCGCCGCGCGGGCAATCACTGGGCCGGCCGACTCTCGATGTCCGCGGCTGCTAGCCGCGAACGGGCGCGCGGCGCGGTGCCTCTGAGAGCGAGTGAAACCTGAATTTCCGATATCATCTAGAATGACGCAACCCCGGCGATTCTTCGATGGCGGATATCGCCTCTAGATCAACGTTAAACATCTACTGAATCTTCCTTAAAGAATCTTCCTTCGTTTTGCCATCCATACATGACGAACAAAGGAAAACCTTATCTTCACCGATATGAAAACAGAGATATTCTATATTAATTATCGATAGGCAGTTTCTGTGTTAACAAATCGTAATTCATTGATTTCTTCTGAAACACAATTGTGTGAAAAGAAATTCATAAAATTTTTCTTAGGCACTGCTGCCCGATATCTTCGCGCAAATGATAAATTAGAGTCGCCTATAGCTGCATTTTATAATAAAAATGTAAAACTTAAAACAAATTATTATTATTAAAATATTTAAGAGTTATTCCAGAACTCCCAAATGCTCCTCGTTTTTCTCGTATCTTTATCAATTTATTAAATCTCAATGCTGCGCGCGCGTATCGTATTTCCAATACTCTCTAACACTACATAATTCTCGTATTAAAATATAAATATTTAAAACAGCAAAACTATTGTATGTATTTTAAATATCAAGAGAAAAATACTTGACATTTCGTTGCTAGTGATTAATAGTTTGTTAAAGTAAAATTTCCTTTGTGTGATGCATCGTGATGGTAACAGAAAGGGATAATCAACGTTCGAGTATCCAGTGGAAAGTATCTTCCACGGCTAGGAATCTCGAGGTATCGACGGTCGGATAACGTGACGTGAGTATCGCGTTAGCGGGCGCTTCGTTCCACTTGCGATGAGAACGTTATACCCGGCCGGAGTATAGTGGATCCTCGGGTCGTTATCTACGATAGTCTCGGGGCTCGACGGACGGACGCCTTACACCTCGCCAATCACGAAGGAATCGCGCGCGAACGCGAGCGAAGCAAGCACGGCGCGGCGCGGCGCGGCGCGGCCGAGCTATACGATTCCTTCGCTTCCAATCGTCCTTGACACACTTCCGCTCGCCCGTCCCGCGCACACCGAATCGATGCAATCGCGGAAGTTACGCGCGCAATACCCGCGCCGCTCTTATCCCTCCGTATAGGGTGTTTCACGCAAACGAGAGATGTTCGTATATCATTCCTTCCATTCACAGATTCGGCTCGAAGCTTACACTCGACAGAAGAGACGTCGGGCATAAGAGAGCGGCTATAACTATAAGAGTTAAATTATCAGAGAAAAGATACGTATGCCATACATGTGGATATAACCTTTCAGAGACTAAAATTCAGACGAATAAACATAAAAACCCTATATGCCTTTTATTCTTTTTTTTTTTCAAATCTTTATTAAACAAAGAAAAATTTTCCGAAACATCTTTTTTTGAAGACCAACAAGCTGAACGAGGAGCAACGCCGACAAAAATATCCGCGTTGCGCCAAACGCACATCTATAATGCGTGCACACGTGCAGCGGATACTTCTCGTACGTCATGCGTCTTGCATTAACGCCTCGAGCGCGTTCCATTCGTTACTTCACACTTCGACGTGCTTTGGCAATCCTCCCTATACTCGAGCGAGCGAGCGAGGCTCTGCTCGATTAACTTTTTACCGAACGACGCTAAGTAGATAATGAATAATCACCGTTTGCTCTAAACGTACTTGACGCTCCATATTCCCGCGCTACGGCACCAACAAGCGTCATCATCATTATCCTCCGTCCGATCCTCGTCGCGCGATTCCTGTTCCCTATGCACGCACGCACGCACGCACGCACGCACCAAGATGCAGGCACCAAGACGCCACACGTCTTTCTCTTTCGCAATCTCCCGCGGAGCCCCGAAGACGGCCGAAGACGTCTCGCTGACGCACGAAGAGGCAGAAACGAGCGGGCAGCAGACAGGCAGGCAAAGCAGGTACCGACGCGCGGCCGCGGCGTGGCCCGCTCCGACTTGGCGCGGCCGAGTATCGCTTGTGGGTCGAGACTCGTATATGCGGGACCTGTACCCCGCGTGTAATATAGGTCAGTGGGCCAGGGCGATCGCGGACGGCAACGCGGACGTGCGCGCCGCGTCGCGTCGTGCCACGCCGCGCGCGCAACGCGCGCGTTCGAACCGTGGCCTGCCTGCCTGCCTGCCCGCCTGACTACCTGGCCTGGCCTTCTCTCGTTGCATCCCTACGTCACCAGGGCATTATATCTTCGCCTGGGATGTGCTTCGCGCGAATGTTCAACCCGTCAACGCGACGACGCATCCCGCGAGGGCGGGAAACAAACTCCCGCCACTTTCCGAGGGCCGCGATAAAACGCAACGTCGTCGCTCGTCGTCGTGAGATCGTTATTGGGGATGTTTACGTCTAAATGGACTATTGATCAAGAGACTCGCCGACACGCATGTCTCGCGACAAGAGTATGCGATAGAGATAATAGATATGTAAATGAAACGTTGCGCGGAAAATGAAAATGATGAATGGATCGCGCGGAAGATTGAAAGTGATAAATGACCGCGCCGGAGGATCGTCGGCCGTATATCTCTTCCGCGGAACAAGAGAGAGAGAGAGAGAAACGTTTTTTGAAAATAAGTGGCCCGTATCCTTTAAATTGGAGCGTTACATGGAAAATAACTGAATAATGCATGGATAAGTGAAAATAATTGAATAATATATAGATTTCATTGAATTTTACGAGATCTGTATGTCGAAAAGAGATCATATTGAACCTGTAAATTGATATATATAAACCTTACAATTATCTATCTATCACAAGTATCTGTTAGTATTATATCTATTTCGATGAGTATTATTCTATTTTTATGTTAATACTACGACTGTCAAGTCATTCAATCTCGACAAAAAAAAAATATTAATATATAACTTAGATATACTTATTCTAAATTACTATCGACGTTTATTTCTCAAGAAATCGAAAGCCCCTCTCTTTTGAAAACCCATAAAAATGGTTCTTGTAATCTTCTCGACATGTACAGAACGTTTTATGGAAATAAATGCAATAAATTAACACCAATTCGCAACCTACAATTTTTTTTTAATGGTAATTGTAGAAAATTAAGTGTGTTACAGCATGTATAAAAATATATCGCAGCAAGTAAAGGCAAGCTTCGTTGGAGTCTCCGTGATCGATAAACTGACTAGCATAAAAAGCGTAGTCGAAGGTTAATTCCAGGAGATTTTTCGCGCGCGCGGCACTGCACTTCACTCCGATCTCGCTCATTCGATTACAGTCTACGAGTCCGCCGGATTTCGTCATTAAACTTGACAATGCACAAGCGTGGACGGGCATAATGAAGGCGACTTATTTACAGTGAGGAAGAAAAAACGTAAAAGGCGGAATAATGTATAGGTATCGAAAAAGCCGAGGAAAAGCGGGTTAATACCGGGGACCGCGCGCTCCTAATGCCTGGGATGCCGTTTTGTTTTTAATAATGTCGTATACTACGCGGGCACACTTTGTTCGACGAGAAACCGCGGAAAATTTAATTTCGTCGTCTCGGTGGAATAAATGAAAGACATGAATAGCAAGTGGCTAACGTCTCCGGACGACTTAAGTATTTCTAGCGGCGGATTCTCGGTCGGCGGAGTGCAACGACGGGCGGCGCGGCGGTCCGCCGTCTCTGTAATCTCCGGAGAAAGGAGAGAATGCTGAGGAAGAGAGGAGAGAAAGAGCGAGAGAGAGAGAGAGAAAAGGGAAGAAAAATATCTGCGGCGAACTGCGCAATACGCACGTAACACCCACGCGAACGTGAAATTAATATCGATAACCGAAACGACGCGATGCGACGCGACCCGGCGCATAAAGTAAGTCCGGCGTTTGCCTCTTTTTCCCCCCCCTCTGCCCTTCGTTCGCGCGCCGGAGAATTAAAGTCCACGCTCACGCCCGAAAATAAAAATATGCGCGCGTATAAATTTCGCGATTGCGCGAGTGACGGTCCGTTTATTTTTCTAGTTTAACGACCTTAACTAACTTTGGTCACCGTCGTAAAACGTGCCATTTAATATCGGCACTCCTCGTTTTCACGTCGCACGTTCAACGCGCCGGTACATCCGATTCTTATCTGCCGATCTTTATATAAGCCAAATAAAGCCTCGGAGTCGCACGACTGTGTTTAGAACTAATTATAACCAGGAGATAATTAGAAGATAAGACGTTAATAACAGAAAATGAATTTATATTCGTTGTTCTTCTATTTGCGAATTTCACGCGACTTTCACTTGTCTGCTATTCAATTGCAGTCGTTTTCGCAAACCAATTTTGTATATTACGGTACATATTGCGTATCACTCTGCTGTGTGCGAATATCATGTATAACATTGAAATTTTTAATTTAGCTAATCTATCGCGTTAAATTGTATTTTCGCAACTGTATAATTTATTATCCTAATTTTCTAGTAATTTATGGATTTTACACGTAATGTAATTTTAATCGCGCTTCTTAACTGTTTGTTATATATTATTATCTCGTTACTAGAACAGCTGCAATAAATAATTATTATCGGATTTATATTTACGGTTCAGTGCCAACGCATCGTAATAATTCAGAGAGATGCTTTCAATTACAGATCTTGCGAATCAAAACGTTGTTAATATTTACGTTACAACCGGAATTAAAAATTAAAAATTCTTTAGCGGCAAATTCTGATTGATAAAAAATACGCGACACTTCTGGGACACCCAGTATGGAAGATCCGCGCGCCTGTAACAGTGACACTCGCACTTTCACGGACGAGAACACCTGTTTCTCGCGATGATCAAACACGGTGAGATATCGCGTATCAATAGCGAGGATCGACTGAGAATACTCAGCCAAGATTAACATTCGTCAATCCGTAAGACATGAAGAGACCGCGCAGTTTTTATATATTGACATTTGCATGCAGGGAACGAGATGCAATCGTGCGTGGCTATTTCACAAAAATTCACTAGTCGTGTGTGTCTTCAAAGATTGCTATGATAAAACTTTTTAAGATTTTGAGGTAACTTTGGATAATTCGGTATTAAAAGAATTAAATACCGAATTGGATATCAAAATAATTAAAAACGCACATTTGTTAATAAAAAAAAATAAGCTCGACAATTGTATAAATTAAAACATGAAGGAAAGAAAGAAACGTGAAAAATATACGTAGATTTGTATAGGAAAAAGAAGTTCGAAAAGAATTTTTCCATAAAGAAAAAGTTTTCCCTCGGAATTTCATTTGTAACTCAATCTATTTATAGAATTTGAAACCTTCTCTCTTTCTCTACCTCTCCTACTATCTATTACCTAAATCTGGAGTCACATTTAAAACGCTGTGCTCTTTTAATGCATACTTTTACTTCGAAAAAATCTCGTTTTTATTATAAAATAATTTTATATTTAAAATATTTTATTAGATCGGGGCAATAAAATGTAGAGCGCATTCGATACGCATATACGACGCGAGCTTGAATTTTGCGGGTGGCATGAAAACATAAGAATTCGCGATTTTTGGGCGATCGGCTCCTCGGGAACGAGGTGCACCGTTATTCGCGTGTCGAGTCACTTTGCATAGTCGCCAAGTTTCATACTCGGGGATTGACGTGCCTCTCGGGGTCGGAACGGCGCGGCCCGAAGTCAGACGTTAATCTACACCGCGAATCGGAGTCAGTGGCGATCCGTAGAAGGCGATCGCGCATTTAAATTGGTCGAGGTCTCTCGGTTACGCTCGAGTAGTAACACACTTCCCCGGCTCGGGTATGCAGCTGTAAACTGTTCTGCAGACGCGAGCGCAGCCACGGCCATCGACCAGAGTTCCTCCGTTCGCGTATACACGGTGTTCCGGAAACACGTCGCTCTCTCATTCTGCATATCGCGGATTCTTCGATCGATTCCCAGCCGGACTTCTGTTTCGTCAAAACAGAAACACACCGAACGTCTCGCAATTTTCTACGCGACAAATAAAATAGAGCGATATTTGTGGTCGATATCTATGATTGCTCTATTTTAAAAATATCTCGATTTACTTTTTCCACACACATATATAATTGTTCTTCAGTATCGCTGCGCAAATCTGTAAAAATCATAAATTGTAAATTCGAATCGCGAAATTTATTTACGGTATTTATATCTCGGCATTTCTAATCTTTCGTCGATATTATAATAATTTTACAAAAATATTCATATCAAGAATTCTATTATTAAAATTCTTTCCTGAAAAATTCTATCGCATCTTCGGAGAATTCGCAGTTCTTGCGGGGCCACCCGGTAGGTCTGAGGCATTCTGTATATACCTTTCGCCGCTCCAGTCTTCCTACCGAGTTCAGGTTCACACTCCTTTATCACCGGGGAACGCGAGGGAAGGGAACCCTAAAACGTCGTAACGTTTCTTTTTCTTTTAGCCTTCGCGTCGCGAAGTTGATTCATACCATCGGCGAAATAGAAAGTCCGTATCGTGTATATACGCGATACAAGGCGAACGGAACTCGGCGGAGCGACGCAAATATCAACGCTATTCTTAGCTTTATTTATTGCAATTGCATGATACCCCGGTCTTGCACAATGTTTATGTAAGGAACAAAGATAGCGCGAGCGCGGAGAGCGCCCCGCATTTTTATAGGGAACTTTTAAAAGCTTCGCCCTCCCTTTTTCGTCCGTCCCAATTGCATAACGTTCCCGGCAGCTTGCATAACATTTGAATTATATGAGATGCTATTTCGATCGTTTGTATGCGATTTAATCTCCTATTGCCCAATGTAATTTCCAAGTCACGTATCGGCTTTATTGTTGTCTCTCTTTCTTCTTTATGCATCGTACAGATACCGTTTCTTTACTCGCTATAGTTGTTCCGAAACTGCTGGACCCGCGTCGCGTTGGAAGAATTCCTTGCCACACAAAGATTAGCGTCCCTATGTAGCGACGGACAAATTTTGAAATCCGTTTTATCCCCCGGAAGAAAGTTTCTCACGTTGACACACATACCACGGCCGTCAACGGTACATCCCGATTTTCTCGCTCGTCGAGAATCGGACGAGCGCGATGCGCCGGATCTCCCACTGACCGAGGTACGATGATAATTTTGAAAGTGAATTCAGTTACCAGGTGAAAGCAGCCGCCGCTACCGATGTCCCCGGCGCGAGGCGGCGAACGTGACACGGTGACCAAATTCGATTCTAAGCCCGAAAGCTTCAGATCTCGGAATTAATGAAATACACATTGCCAAACCGTAGCTTGATTTTCGACGGAACAAGCTTGTTCTTATAAACAATTAAATTGATAGCAAAATGTCTAAAGCTAATTGTCAAAATATTTATGGTTACTGTTACCTTACGAGAAAAAAAACATGTTAAAAAAAGATATTTCCTAACCTAAATGCACGTGTAAGTGACATTTCATTCGGTTAAAAAAATTGTATTCTTCTTTGTCAACAGTCTTTTTTTAGCTATAATTGTGCAAGTCTTTTATTTTTAACGTCCGAAAAGTGGAACGTTCTGAAGATCGAGCGAGCAACGGGGAAATATTGGCCCGTAATACTCGCCATACATTCAGCACTAAATGTGACAAACGCGATCTGATCCAAGTTTTGTTTGCTTAACGCGAAGATCGCGGTCAATGTCAGCGTGAGATGAGAATCGGAATAAGCACATTCAACGCTAAATGCGTGGCGGGAATATGGCCCAATATATTACGCCACCCACTTGATCTTGGTGCGAAATGCTACGCTATTCTAACAATAACTATCGAACTTCTAACTATTTAATTAACTCTTTCGTTCCGCCAAAGTGAAGCACACCTGGTGATTACATTGAATAAAATAAAGAGATATTTTTAAGGCAATCTTAAAGACATTTTTTTCCTATATTGTGTAACAAAAGTAAAAATAAAATAAAATAAAAATAATTTTTCTTTTACAAAAGAAAGGTTTGTTTCTTTATTAAAGAGGAAGGAGCATTTCAGGTTATAACATCGGCTGTCCCGCTTTCGTAACTTAAAAATCTGACCACCTTAAGTGGCCGCCTCTCCTCCACGTCGCCCATTTCTCCTTGCCCTTTTATTAGGAATTCAGATCGCGTACCCCTTGCATCGCGAAGAAACTCGCCCGTCGATGAAATCTACTGACGATACCCGACAACATTGCGCAATGGATTTAATCCTCTACAAAATAATTCCAGAATACGAAACTACGCGCTGATCAGAGTGTGACTCTTTTTTTCTCTCTCTCTGCGGCCGGACTGCATCGATTTTGCAATGTGTGGCCAGTAAACTTTTTGCTTTTTTTTAAAGTGAACGTGCGCCTTAAATGCTCGAAAGTACGTCTTAAATCTCATTTAATTCAATTTATTTAACTTCAAGGCCTTAAAATTGAGATATAAATGAGACATATACGTTAATTACGTGCCGCGTAAGTTAATTCTGATATTTTTGGATTATTATTCCTGACACTTCCTGTGTAAATTTCGTTTGTCATGTATTTTATTTACGATATTTTACTGCACTTATATTTAACGCCAATGCCAATTTTTTCGCAGGAAATATCAAGTAAAATCAATATTTTAGAGATTATTAAAGCCTAATAATGAGATATTTTGGTTTTAAAACATTCATACCGGATATCTAAAAATTGTAATCGTGTACAATCACTCAAATTTAGCAAAATTCAATGTTTAAGTTAAAAGTATATTTCTAAAAATTGGTCAATTTTTTTATCATGCACCAGCGTGCACGACACATAGTTTCCACAAAAATGAATTTCGAAGTTCAATATCTGTCGGTTCGCGGATAAGATGACGATGATAGATCACGTATACTCGAGGCTCTCGAAAGGACGTGTCTCCTCGATTGAAATTGAAAGCGGAGCACAGTGAGACACGTGTTCGTACGTCACGATCAATCAAGCGGGGATTTCGACGATATCGCACTTCGGTTATTTTTGTACACCCCTACGAAATTGAGTTCAAGATACCCTTAAGGGCGCCTTTGCGACTCGCGGAGAAAATTCCATGAGAAATCACATGGTTGTATTGGTACCTAGATGCGATCTCGCGCGTGGCGCGGAAAGTAGTAACGGATGTACTTGTCAGACACGCGATTCCCAACCGCTCATTTGTAATGTATCAATCTCGTAAAATCATTCCGAAAAAAACTGTAATACCTTACATAATGCATACCTTGTATAATTTCCAGTTATATAATTATTATTTACATATTTTTGAAATATTATCTTTTGATTATTCACAAATTATTTCACGCATATTCACCTAACAAATGTTTTTAGAAATCTACTCAATGCTTAAATAATACATGCACCTTGATTTTCGAAAATAATTAAATCAACGATACAGGTTTATCGACAAATTTTACTTTTTCGTTTCATTCAAAATATTATTTCGAACATTTCTTTTCGTGATCTGAAAAAAATCGAAAGGATTAAAAAAAACAAATTATAAATGTGAATATAACACTTATCTACGATGAAGACTAATATAAGACTACTGCAATATTTAAATCGTCCTGATTGGGATGTGAAATAGTTCGCCCATTCTCAAACTTCAAACTTCATGCGATAGATTTTTCGAAGGCATTTTATTCCAGAGGATCATTCGTTCTGACCGCGGATACATTGACAAATTTAATCGGACGCCATCAACTTGGTGTCAAACGCGTAAAGGATTAGATCAACAGGTTCCCGGTGACAAATGCACTTTGAGCTGCACTTCAGGCGAATTCCTCAAATACACCGAGAGAACTTTGACACGCTGTATCAAAGTGCTCTCCGGGCATAAAGTGTTTTTCGAAAATGTAGTTTATTCTCTCTTTGACAATCGTAATACCAACTTGATTCTCCCATTTCCCACGCCTCTCTTTCATCCTCGTCGCGCCGGACGAGTTCCGACCCATCGAACCGTAATAATTTCATCAAGGAAAAACCCCCGCATCCAAATTGTGAGAGCGAGAGCAAAAGCGAGAGAGAGAGAGAGAGATTGAGAGAGAGAGGAAAAAAGCTTCGCCGCTCGTTTCCCCGTTGACGTCGCACTGGAAAATAGTAACGTGACAGGTGGTGTCCCGCGCAAATGTCCTTAAATTCATCTCCACTTCTTTCTCGGGCCGTTGATAGACACCGCTGACACGAGCGAGGGCACGACGAAGACGGAAGGCGAGGAGAAGGAAGACCAAGGTGGAATCCGCGGAATGATATTTAATACCTGTAGCCTGAGCATGGCGGATGAGATGAGATATGCTAATGGTAAACACGACGACGAGGACGACGCCGAACGCGGCGCGAGGGGGGGTGGAACAGGAAGGAAGGGGTGACGAGGGGTGGCAGATCGCGCGCGCATCGAGTTGCCATGTCGACGACGGGCACGACGCGAATCCGCGATGACGTAACCCCCGCGTCTTTGCGTCACGAGGGGATGGGAAGAATATATAGTCCGAGCGATGGGTGAGCGCGGGGTGAAAGGGGACCACGGGGAGCGAGGGAGCGGTAGGTTTTAGGCCCGCGCTTGTAGGGCACCAACGGCCGGTTACGTAATCTCCAACGCTGAGATAGTGGCGGATCGATCGTTTTCGCCGGCGAAAAAAGGGCCTGCGCGTCCCGATTGGACGCGAAGGTGCCCAAGGACCCTGGCCGGACGAGTTGCAGGGCAACCTGAACCGTCCCGACGGCGGAACGGTGCGTTCCGGTCTCGAAACATTCGAGACGAATATTAGAATATCCTACCTATTCTCTACTCGATTTAACGGAAACGTTTATTCATTATAAATTTGTTCTTATTTTATGATAATCTAGTCCTGGATTCAGATTTTAATTTAATATGTACCAATTCTAAATTTTTATAATAAATGTTTAATCTAAGATATCTCTTATACACTCGAAGAATAAAAAACAACAAGAAACTATATTTAAATAAATATCTTAAATAAGAAAATTAGGAGATTGTAAACATTATATTATAATAGGCAATTTATTCGTTCGCAATAAAATGCAAAATCAATCAAAATTTGAAATAATTGATGAAGTTTATTAATCTAGAATGTTCAATCGTTGCAAATGACTACTAAATTGACTACTTGTAAATTCTAAACTCATTTCAACAATTTTTGCGACATGTCGATACGTACTCGTATTTAAATCGACATAATCTCGATATTTCCTTTCGTCCTCGATAGAAAAAAGGTTTAGTTTCTCAACATTATAATGGCGGCATTCGTGGACAGCCTTGGATAACTAATTTCGCTTTAACCAGCTGGTGCGTAATTTTCCTCTCGGACTTCTTTGCGAAATACTGTCCAATTATACGTGAAAGATCGAAGTAGAACTTATGAAGCAAAAAAAAGTTGGGGAATCACTGTCAAGTCGAAATGTGAAAGTGTAGGATGTTGCAATTAGGAATAAAGGTTCTCTCTCGGGGTTGATCGACCGGATATCGCGTGTCATTCACCAAGGGTCACCCTCGATCTATTTTTTACAAAAACTTTCCCTAATCTGTACACCTGCCACGCGACAGCAAGGAGCAACATCCAAAAACTCGAACGTACTACACAAACTGTTAAATAAAATTGCCCGCAAACTCAGAGATTCTTTTTTTTAGAAAAGCTATTAGAAAAATTGATTCGCTAAAAATTTACTGCAATTTTCACCAATTGATATTTTATCGCGATATTTTGAAGTAAAAATATCGCGAAAAAGTAAAAATTTGAAAAATTGATTCGCAAAATTTACTGTAATTTTCACCAGTTGATATTTTATCGCGATATTTGAAATAAAAAAAAGCATTCCGTATTTTATGTGACAGATAGTACGTGCAATCGCGAATTACGTCAAGTGCATTTTAAACATACGTGTATTACTGAAGTATAATAAAAATGGGTCGGAATTATACGTTCTATTTCGCAGCGAAATGTAGTGTGCGCGTATACGAAGATTAAGCGTCCCTTAATAATTTAGAAATCACTCCCTCCATACTCCTTCCTTCGTTCACGCCTTCACATCACGCGTGTTAATGGAAATTATATAGATTCGATAAGAGCGACAAAATAAAAAAGGATTCTTGCGCCCATGCCATCCAGTCGATAGGTTGCGATACACGCTTCCCGTCTCACTCGTCTCGCCAGAAAATCACAGAAAGGCCCCGTAACGCGCGATTCCGCGTGGCGTGACGCGCGAAGCAATTTCCCCCCCCGGATCGCGATGCACTCGCGCGTGACGAGGATGATTGTCGCGCGGCGGTTTGAGCGATATTTAATTACACACACGAGAATGAGGCACGAGCGAGCGAGCGAGCGAGCGAGCGGGCGGACGGGCGGGCATGGTGCGACGACCGTGGCGATTATTATCCTACGACGGCCGAGCGAAAAACGCAGGCCGTGTCGATACGCGCGTAGGCGTGCTTCGAATCCGGCGACGATGACTAAGATGACGGGAAGGGAAAAAAAAAGAGTCAAGTTTTCTCTGACGCGAGATAAAAAAAAAAGACTCGACAATTTCGTCGCACTTAAAGCGCATGTAGCCGAACGCTCTCTGACCA